TCCCTTCGATGGGCTCATCCCACCCTCTTTCTGTGCTCCACAGGGCCTGTACAATCAGCTTGGCCCTTGTAGTGTAGGGACAAATATACCCTAGTGGGTCATACTGGGTAGCTAGTACCTTGTACACATTGCGCAGCGTGACCGTGGAGTAGGTGATAGGGCGGTGCTTATATCCCAGGACATCTGTCGGACAGTGCCAGCTAAGTCCTAACGTTGACTCTTGTGAGTCGAGACCTTTGAAGTTCAGCCAAAGTTCACAGCTCTCTGATCGAGCTGAAGCGGGCAGGTGAGCAACTACTTCGGGCACGTTGCTCGCCTACTGTCGTATATCAAATCCTCCCTGAATGAGTAAATCTCTCATCCGGTCGATGAGCTGTTTTGCCTCTTCTGGGTTGAACAGGGACTGTAAACAATTATCCACGTAGAAGGCTGTGTGGACTGAGTCACAGATCTCTTTGTGGGTTTCTTTGTGCTCCCTTGCATGTCTCTGTAGGGCGAACGTAGCACAGCAGGGGCTACATGTCGTTCCGAACGGCAAAACTCTCCACTCATATATGTCTGGGGGCCGATCCGTTTCACAATCCCTCCACAGAAACCGTAGCAGGGGACAATCCTCTGGGAGCAGCCGAACCTGATGAAACATGGCTTTGATATCTCCACTCACGGCTACAGGGTGTTGACGGAAGCGGAGTAATACCCCCAGCAGAGTGGGTCCCATGGGAGGTCCTGGTAAGAGGCAGCGGTTCAGGACGGACCCCTGAAACTCAAACGAACAGTTGAAGACCACTCTAGCCTTATTGTTGTGATGTACTATGTGGTGCGGTACATACCATGACTCAGAAGAGCTATGTGTCTCATCTGGGCTCAGCTTAGCAACATAGCCAGACTCTACTAACCTGTGGATCTCCTGGTTGTATGTATGGGTCAGATCAGGGTTCTTGGCCAGCTTACGTTCAGTAGATCTGAGGAGGCCCTTTACTGCTTCAGGGGAGACACACAGACGTGGAAAGTCTCTTCTTCTCAGCAGAGGAGTGGCATATCTCTCGACACCATCTACTGGGACTCTGAGGGTCTTTGTTTCCAACGTAGCCACTGCCTCTCTGTCCTCCTTTGACCGTGTGACCTCCTTCTCTGTCCTACAGGGGGGAACATCTAGTTGCCACAAACGCTTCACATCTTGATGCAGGGCCTCTGCAGGAGAAAGACACATGTTCAGGCACTGCAGCTCCCCCTCAGATGTAGGCATACTACTGGCTGGCCCCTGGATGGCCCATCCGAGCTTGGTGCAGACGGCTTCTGGCCCTTTAGATGACCCCCTAAGGACAGGACGGACAGGGGTGATGAGATGAGCATTATCTGAGCCAAGTAGCACCAAAGGTTGGACCTGGTTAAATCCTTTGATCTGGACTTTCTGCAAGTGAAGATACTTCTTCTTCAGCTGTTCAGCTGGACATGACTGAGTAGCTAGACTCAGCTGGTCGGCTGTGAATGCATGTGTTACTTTGTACCTCACTTTGGGCTTAGCTCTCGGTGACACCTGAAATGAGACAAAGCCTCCCTTCATCTGGATTACATCTCGACGGATAGTTCGCAGTGCGAGTGTTGCTTCCTCCTGCTCCAAACCTAGAGATTCAACTGCCGCAGGAAGCACAACAGTCTTTTCTGAGCCGTCATCAAGCACAGCAAATGTGTCCAGAGATTTGCCACCATGATGTAGTTGAATTGGTACTACTTTAAGCATGACTCGACCTGAGTGACTTGAATAGTCTAGGTAAACCATACTAGTACTCACAGTTAGTATGTTAGGGTCCCGCTTCTTGGCCTCAACCAGGTCATGGAGCACAGACAAATGCTGGTCACCACAGGTGCTGCACGGCTTCTTTAGAGTACACTGCTCTGGAGAATGTTTACGGCCACAGCGCCAGCATTTGGCCTTCTCAGTAATCCAGGTAGCCATAGCTTTGAGGTCTAGCCCTTTAAATCCATCACAGCCATTCAGATAATGCTCTGTCCCTTCACAGTATGGACAATAAGGTTTGAACTTCTGTCTCTTCTTAGGTTGGACTGTCGGATTGGGAGCTGTAGATCCTCCCCCTGGTCTTAGCTTGGCTTGGGCTGGATTTGGGCCGTAGTAAATGGAAGCAGATTTGCTGTGTGACTTGGGCCCTGCTAAGGCTTTGAGTAGGTTCTTCTCTGGGCGTGGCCTGTCAGAGGGCATGTGAGAGGCTTGTCTGGATAGCTGAAGGACTTGGGATTTCCGTTCAAGCCATTCTGAGAAGTCGTACATATTGTATGTTCGGCTGCTGCCAGTGCGGATGATCCCCCGGGTAATACAGTACTCGATGAAGCTGTCTCTGTAGTTCAGGGGGAGTTTGGTAAGCAGTCTGTCCACATGTGAACCACAATGAAGCTCACTGGCTGCTACTTCATCCATGGTACTGAGAAGCCCGACCAGGCTGGACACGGACAGGGACAGGTCCTCAATAGCTTGAGAGTCTCCTGTTCTAATAGGGGGGCAGTTCAATATAGTGCTAAGCTCACTTTGGACTAACTGCCTTGGCTGTCCATACCTCTGCTCTAGCGCCCTCATTGCACTAGTATAGGGAGTGCGGTCGTGGATGTAGCGCTTGGCTACCTGTAGGGCGCTGGGATACTCTAGATGATCTAATAGGACCTGAAACTTGTAATCTTCTCCCAGATGAGAATGTGGCCCTAAGGTGCTGTCCAGCCCTTTCTTTAATAAGGCGAAGTCACTCTCTCTGCCCGTCCTGAAGACTACCAGCCTAGGCTTTGGAATACCATATGAAGATGCCACCATCATCTCCATCAGGTTTGGTAGAGGCGCTCTGGCTGATTCAGATGTGGCAACCCATGGATTATATTGTCCAGCAGAGGAAGATGATGAATAGTCACTTCCTGACGGGTCGGGAACGTGGTGGTTGCCAGCTGGATCAGGCAAAGCTTCAGGATGCAATATGTTGGATACAGGGTGCTGAGCGTCTGCCCACTGTGATGGCTGGGTCACAGGTTATGGTGGACATGGAAGTTGGTAGGTCGGATCAGCAGGACGCGGTGGTTGCTGCAAGTACACAGGATTAGCTGGAGGTCTGGCTTGGAAGACGGGAGCAGCTGGATGTAACGTCTGCTGCAGACTCACTGGATCCCCAGCCTGTGATAGCTGCTGTACTGCATGATAAGCACGTTGTCTTGGCTGATTAGCTGAGGCTGCGTGATGTGATATCTGCACCTGGCCTGGCCGGTTTATAAGGAGATGATGTTCCGATCTCTGGTACACGAAGGGTGTAGCGGTGCATCGTCCAAGTCTCCTGAGTGGCGTTGATGCAGCTACATAAGTGGCAGGGTGCAGCACTGGCTGAGTGTGAAAACTCACTTTACGAGGAGGTGATGGAGCAGATGCCTTCACTGGCGTCAGCATGTTCGCAGGTGTTGTGGTGTCCTGCTCTGGTACAGGTAGTGGCTCTATGGTGCGATGTATCACCTCACTGCTAGGTTGTGAAGCTTGCTCCAAACGCTCCACCCGCTTCAGTAATGTTCCATGAGTGTCCTCCATAGACGCTTGAAGGTGATTCATGGTTTGGAGGACACTGTTCCATGCGGATTCCATCCTCTGCCATCTCCCTTCCTCTTCATTGTCAGAGCTACTGGAACTACTTGGAGCTCTAGATGGGTTGGGTGGCTCAGTTAGGTTGTGCTCATAGTCCACCAGATATCCCGGGAGTTTCCTCTCCCGTTTTGGACGGGGGCTACTCGATGCACCTCCATCCTGAGGGTTTTCCATCTCATGAACTCAGCCAAGGCAAATCTGGCTCGAAGGACCACTTGTACTGAATGTTTGCACTGATTGCCGATCACGCTTCAACTGAGTTGTCCTCGGTCAGAAGGATTGGCACTCCACAGTGATGTAGTCCAAGTAGTTTTATTAAAGAGGTAGCAGATGACATCAACAAGTGAGGCAATTGCATTCCCATCTATGAATGCAGGTAAAGGGAGTGTGAGTGTGCAGGAGTATGTGGGTGTGGTAATCTGTTAACAGAAAGAACAACCATTAGTATGAATAGCAATGTACCGCTTATACAGCACTGTGGGTTTCCAACATGAAGTTATATGATCTGCTATAAACCTCATGGCCACTAGATGCCACCCTAAGACCATACATGAATTTATTGTTCGTATATGCATTAGCAAACAGTATCTCTACAGGTCAGATAATAAACACAGAAAATAGTTCTATCCACCTCCAACCACCATACTTGATAGTGAGTCGTATATGGAATGCCATATAAGCTGCAACCAAGGCTGCCTGAAGTAGGCCAACAAAACCTGCAACTTAGCAACAGGACTAGCTTCTTAGTGATGTACACAGAGCAACTCACAGATAAAGTCAAATAAGCATCAATCTCATCTTATAATACTCACATGATAAACACGCACACCAAGGGTAACTCACACAGGAACGCACGAGAAAAACGCTGATCATCCAACACCTTTCAGCTGTGCTGAACTGCGCTAAACACGTTCCCAACGGGAAGTACAGATACCGAGGTGCATCATGGGTAATGTAGTCTAAACGGTGTTCACAAACATTATTCCTCTGGAAAGCGGACTTTTAACAACATGTTTTACTAAAAGTAAAGTTGTGCAGAAGTTTGTGTTTATTTTTCTAAATTTGTCCAGTTGAATGTAGGTCAGAATAAAATATGTTTGTGAAAATGATAATTTTTTTATGACTGACATGCATTTTCATATTACTAGTTGTGCTTAGCCATTATTGATCTATGTAAACAGAAGGTGTAGAGTCTCAACCAACTTGTTGACATTTTTGTTTAAAAATGTGTTTTCCAGCTACCGGAAGAAGCAGGCTCCTGAAATTGCAATTCAGGGAGGTAATGTGCAGTCAACCTCGACACCCAGTAAGAGAACAGCAGCTAAAATGTTGCATCGATTATCTCCAATTGAACCTGTGTCTGAGGGGTTAGTATCTTTTCTGTAAAATATTCACGTTTTTGTGCTATGATATTTCATACATTAAATTACACCTTGCATATCCACACTTGGTTCAGAACTAACATCACACCACCAAACACTTCTGACATTATCTTTACAGGGAAGATTTTCTAATGGCTGGTGTTGAGGCGCTGATGACCTAGATTTGGATCCTTTTGAAGAAAGGTAAATTTGTTCATGAGAAGTCTGGCCATATACGCAGGAAATTACTGCTGTACTATGTGCAAAAAAGATAAAAACACAATAGATAAGCAAATATAGGTCATTATATTTATTTAATTATGTTGTGAAGTGTCATTTCACAGCAGATTGTTGTTATTTGCAGAAATAATCAATGACAGATGTATTAGGCTCCACATTCATCTCTTTAGAATCAGTACCATTTCAGGTGAGTTCCAGTATTTATCTTTACGTACAACAAATATTACTGTGTTGTCTGTAGTTTCAAATCCATGGATCTAGCTTCGGATGCAGTCCAAATTGATGAGGACCAAGCAAACAACTTACTCAACAGTGTGTGAGTTGCAATGTCTTCTTATCTAGGAGTGGGCAATATAAACGATATAAGGTAGAAATGATATAAAATTGGGTAATGATAGTTTTTGGCTATATCGCAATACGGCGATATTGTGATAACACATGACGTCACTAAGATGTGCACCCTGCTGACAATGGGACAACAGAATGGCAGTGACTGCAAGCATGGAGTGGCGGAGGAGGAGGCCTATATGCCTCAAGTGGCATATATTTGCCACGTGAGGATATCTAAAAGCATGTCAATTTGACATCTATAAACAGATGAAAAAATATATCGCAATATATATCGTTACTGCACATGCTTCAGATTATATCGCAATATAGATTTGAGGCCATATTGCCCAGCCCTATTCTTATCTACACTCTTTTTTTAAACTCCAAAGTCTTAAAACAATATATTAATTCTACTTTTATTTATTGTTTTCATAACAGAATAGAACTATTATGAAAACTTTGTCAGGCTGACTAAGTTTGCAGCCGCAAACAAAACGTTGCAGGTAAATAAAACCCTTCTATGTTTTAAAAAGAACTAAAAGATGGAATTGTTGTTTTATCCTTGTTCACAGGCTGGGATCCTAAAGGGAATTTCCATCCTACTTGTGTGGCTGAAGGACATCATCAACCAATTTTGGTACATTTGCCAGAAAGCACAACATCGTGATATGTTTAATGTAAGTATTGTGACATCTTTTGGACAACAAGACAACAATGCACATTGACATAATTACCTTTCTTTTCATAATAGTGCCAGCTCTCGTGTTTCTGTTGGTGAGCGCTTCTGTGACATGTAAAGTTTTCAAATAAAACTTATTTTTTTCTGTTAGGACATGTGGGTGGGTGTGCTTCACCATGTCACAGGGAAGCATGAATGGACCCGTGGCAAATGTGACCATGGACCACTTGATGCAACGACCAGTGATGAAGAGCTCATGGTACCATGATCTCCACCACACGAGGCTCTTCAACGAATCATGTTCAACAGACGCTGGTTGAAGGATGTCACCAATCTGACCTTTAGGTATATTAATAACATTTTCAAAAGCAAAAAAGCTAAAGTGTCAATATCAAAGCTGACAATTTACATATAGAAATGACAATTGTGGGTGAAAAGGCAATCAAAAGTGTGATTCCTAATAATCTATAAAGTTGTAGCTTTTGTTTTTTTTACAGGTCAACTTCAGAACTGGAGTTTCCAGAATTGCATTCTCATGTAATCTATGTATGATCTAATGCTGCTGTTCTCCTCTCTCCATAAAGGCCCCAGCTACGTGAAGCATCAAAAGACAGGAATGACTTCTTTCATGCACACAGATTTATTAGAAATTAAGAAAAAATTCTATGTACAAATGCAAATAACAGAACTTTTTTGTACATAAATAAATATATTGCACAAACTGTTTATTTTTGGGTGAAAATGCTGTCTTCAGCTAAAGTTATTTTGAGGTATTGTGCCGTTTTGGAACTATTGTAGTTGTAGATAAACGGTTTGGATTTTTGGGTTAGGGTGCCCTCAGTCAGGAAGACTGTGTCCTGGCGTCTCTTGCCGAAACTCCAGGATATCCAGCATCACCTCTGGAAGACGGGTCACCACTCTCTCGAGAATATAATCTCTCTCCTCCTGGCTCAGGTGTTGTAAAGCTGTCTAGAAATTAAAGAGCATATGTTTACATGACTAGATTCATATCTCCAGTGAGTGATGTTTTCGTTTTTGGCATCTCTATTATTTTATTTTTTTTTTTTTACACAAATGGCTACAACCAACCTGCATCTCAGCTATACTGGCAGCTCTCAGCTGTGCAAGCCGGTCTCGGTCCTCTTCTCTGAAAGCTGTTCGCTGCCTACCCCGGCGCCCTGGTCCTCTTGAAGGAGCTCTGGACCTCAACCTGCTGCCCTCACCCCTTGAGCGTGTCCTTCCCCGACCCTCGGAGCGACCTTTTCCTCTCTCCTTTCCTTTAGCCCCTGGTCTCAGACTTTCCCACGACACATCAAAGTCTGTGGCAGGCTCGGGCACACTCCATCTGAACTGTCTTCCATCACTCCTTCCAATGTGAATTCCTGAAAATCAATGACAGTAATGAAAAATGACTATTACCCTGTAGGTCTTGTTGATATTATGATTTTATTTTGAACTAAATATTGATATTTATGTTCTTATTTACATTGTTGTGATGCCTGTCCTGTAATGAAATTGGTTTCACAAATGATGTCAGTGACTTGAAATTGGACGTTCTTACATGATGTATAAACAATAACATTAGCTTGTTAGTAAGCTTAGTGCAAAATAATAACTGTAATTGGTCTAAAAACATCAGAAATCACCTGCAGCCACAAAGCCTTATGCTGATAAAGTAGCATCATGTTACTGTCTTGCTCGCCAGTCACAAAACTGGCTTAAGAATATTTCATAGGAAGGAGCACTTGCTTTACATCACGAGTGTCATGGCTAAATTAAAATGCTAATGTTGTCATGGAATTATACAAATATTAGACTAAAGTAACAATGTTACTTACTTCATCGCTCGACACGGTGTCTTGTTCGAGCCGCGCTCTGGCCGTACATCACTGTAACTTTTTTTTTTCTAGTGAAGAGTTTGTGCGCGCTCTCGTGCCGGGCTGCAGTTACTCACAGCGCCGAGTGCGTCGCTAATGAGTTTCGTTTCTTCATCCTGCCCCATGCTCCTTTAAATTCATGCCTCCCACCTTTTAAACTAAACAAGCCATTTAAAAACACCCAAAAATATTGATCCAAGTAATTTATTCTTTAAATATAACAAACAAGAACTACATTACATTTAATACACAAAATAGATTTAACTAATGACCTACATTTTATACAATAAACTGTTAACTATTTGCATTTACATTGTAGTGAAGTCTTTAATTTGCCAAGAATGCATTGAGGAAGAAGGAAAAAAAAACGGTCAACTTTTACTTTACTCTCGTGTGCTGTTTTCGATTTTGTGTGACATTTCAAATGATGTCGCCAGCGAAGACAGATAATGGTGCTGATGCTCCGTAAGGACAAAGGCACAGGCAGCCGGTTCCAGTTGGTAATGTGAGAGTGGCAGCTGTGGTGGAGCAGGGGCGTCTGTGTGTGGACGGGTGTTGGGGACCTTCCTCACAGGCAGCTGATAGAATAGCACACTTCCCTCCTGCACTGGACCAAACGCAGACTCAACCAGAGGTACATCGCTGGAGATGGCCATGGTTGTGATCATGGAAGCTTCAGCTGCATCCAATCCATGATACGCCTCCTGAACCTTCAAAGTGGAGATGTCTGGGAGAGGGCAGCTGACTCCTTTATACAAATTACTTCTGTGAAAAAAAGGCAAGTAAATTTTATGACAGAAAGTTTGCGATAGATGAGAAAAATAACACAGAAAAAATAGAAATATGTAGATCAGATACAAACATAGATGGGATAGAGAGACATAAGAGAAAGATTATATATATATAAGAGAAAAGATAGAAAGATACAGATAAGCTAGAGAAGATAGGTACAGATAAGAGAATAGATAGAAAGACATAAAGTTAGAAAGATATAGATAGAAAAGATAGCAAAATATAGATAAGATAGAAAGAGATTAGGACAGACAGAACTGCATGTTCCACTTCAATCAACCTCTGCATAGTGTATACCTAACTCAAGCTGGTGAGGACTTCTCTGTATGTGTAAGTACACACATCCAAATGAATCAGAGTTTATTTGTAGAACAGACAACAGCACATACTTGATTCCTTCCAACAGTCTCCTCTCTCTTGGCCTGGCTGACACTATCACCATGTCATTCACTGGAACAGGTTTCATACCCTGTATTCACATAAAAAACATGTTTAAGTAACATTCAAGTGATGCCCATGCATTACTTGAAAGGGTAATACAAAATATTGTTACCATGGTCCTTGGTTTATGCCACTTTTGTTCAGTTTCTGTACGGCTGAACACTGGGGGAACTGATGTAAGCCTCAGCTGAGAGTAGTGGGCCGTCTGGTACAGCAGAGCCGCCACATGACTGCACCGGGCACCTCAGGAGCACCACTGGCTCTGAATCCCGAAGCACCATCTTTTACAATACAAAATTTAAGTCAGACTATAACAGCAAATGAAAGAAGACAACTTTAAACACTGTACTTGATCACTTTTTTGTACAACATTTGTTAATGAACTTTAAAATGTGCAAAATGATACCAGATTGGATACAAGGTTGTTGTTTTACAGCTGAATATGTGTACCTCAGTGACATGTTAGTATGTTATCATGTTTTACGTCCCTCGGCTCGGCGTATGATGTTATTTGGAGGGAGTAAAGAAAGATGTCTGGGAATGAAACCAACCAAATTTAAACTCTTAGAAGGAAGTTTATTAACAAAAACAGCTCTCTGGGCTGAAATAAGAAATGGGGAAACAAAAAGGTCATCCAATAAACTGGGAATTAATAAACAAAGGGGTCTTGAGTAAACAAAAAGCGATCTCTAATAACTAAAACGATTGTGTTTGTTTACATAAGAATGTGCGCAATCATTAGCCTGACAGAGCACTGATGTTAAGAGAATGCGCAGGAAGCCGCATTTTTCAAACTAATCAGCTGGAAAAGTAAACTGTTTAGCACCGACATCCCTCACGTTTAATGGTTCACTTATCTGTATCGAATAGCTACAGAGCAACGACGCGACTTGAAGACTTGATTTAAAAAAAGACAAAAACATTTGTTGAACCTGAAATGAACATGCAGAGTGACTTTTCCTTACACTTAGGCAGTGAGGCTTCTGGCTTTTCTTCATGGATCTGAAGCACTCTGACCTAACCGTCACCTCTCCTGACTCCTTGCTGGAAACTGAGATCAACATGCAGTTAAAGTATTTCATTTTAGAAACACTAAATATATATTAGGTTCACCTATCACTCTGAAAACATGGTAAACGTAGCTTGAATGACTCTTCTTCACTGTGCTAACTTGAGCTAGCATGTCTCAGCATTTAGTAAATCAAAACAGAAGCTCAACTTACCGTCATAATTGTGTAAATAACTCGACACATACAGCTTAAAACCCTTATCCTTCTTTGATGCCGGCGTCTTGGTTGTGACTTGAATAATCCGGTGAACGTCGTTCACAGTTATCCTCGGCAGATCGTGAAGTGATCTTGTAAAGAACGCCATAGCCGAACTGGGTCACAGTGCACCGGAAGCACAATATCTGGCTGAAAAACCCGGCACCGGCAAAGCGGAAGTCGGCAGCATCTAGCCTATCACTCTACTAATTATGCCCGAGGTGAAGGCTGCTTGCGGATCGGGTGATGTAGCACCGCTGCCGCCGCTAGGTGTGGCTCTCGCTCTGGTGATGAACCAGCTGGGAGGAGGAGTGGCGGAACTGGAGCTGAGACTGGGGCTGAATGGCAGGGGAACAAGAAAACAGCAGCAGCATGACCGGAGGGCTGGAGCAAACTTACAGACCGTAACAAGTTTTAAAAGTACATTCGGAAATTTTACTCAACTCTGCAAATTATCCAAAAAAAAAAACTTAGGTCAATACATTGAATTTAAAATCTACTTGTTTTGAAAACCTTGACTTCCTGATGTACAGCTCGTGCTTTTCCACTCTGTCACACAGAGCTGCCAGGGGTCCAGGATCTGCAGCTCTCATTGTAGTTACTGAGGAGCTCAGTAGCTGAGGGTTCTTGTTGTAGGTCTCCTGCAGCCTGCTGAGTAGTGCTGTGGCATACTCTGTAATCAAAGTAATTTAAGAATCAGTTATATATATAAACTGAATATTTACTAAACCAAAAATAAAAATAGGGCCGGGACTTTAACGCGTTAATTACGATTAATTAGAAAAAATAACGCGCAAAAAAAAATTCACGCATTTAATCGCAGCTTGCATTTCGAGCAAGGCGGAACCTTTGTCATTGCACGACTTCCTCGTAGACTGAATATCACTGACGCACACAACAGTGCTAATGGCTACTAAAACGGAATAAAAACAGAAAGAAGTTGCCTTGCTTGGACTGATGCAGGATTTAGGAAACACATCCGCGTCTTTTCTTTACTTGGAAAAAAAAACCTTAAACAACGAAGTCCGTGTCGCGGACATTTTTCAGAGATCGTGGCACCGGAAACTTTACAAAAGTTGCAGTAAGCTATATTTTTTACATTTACGTAACATCTGTGCAGCGCTGAAAGCGCCAGACAGAATAATTCTGTGCCCTAACAGTAGTTTATGAAAGTAAGACAAACGAGAGGCACCTGGCTGCCGCTGGGAGAACGCTCCGTGTTCTCACTACTCTGTAAACAATCACAGACAACGTGTCTTAAAGTTGAAAACAGAAGTTTAAGTTAAAACAGAAACACTCTGAAACTTTTCTGATGATTTTCTAAACAGTTCTGTCGGGGAATTATGTGTTTGAGACGAGTCTCTGTCTAAACATCACATGCATTACTATCATTAAGCAGCGAGGTGTGTTGAAGCTGTCATCAGCTAAGGGACGGATGCTTAAGTGTATCCGGGGCAGCGAGGAACGAGAAAGTTGTGATCAGGCTGGAGATCACACCAGATTCGCTGCTGCAGGCGTGAATCTGCAGGATCCCCTTATTAACGTGACAGCAGGACTTCCCATGTAAGGAAGGTCCGCCCACCTGTTTCCTCGCCAGGATCTTTTACCATCCCATCATCCTCCAGTCATCCAAATGGAACCAGTTAGTGTTCCTGATCATTCTCAGAACATGTCATGCCTGCTCTGGTGTTAAAAGTTAGTACATTTAAGTCCTAGATCATATTTGTGCCTGTTCTACTGTCATTTTGAAGGGTTATTATTTATACGTGTGTTTTTACTACATTATGAGTAGAAATGCTAATAAAAACTCCCAATTATACAAACAAGTCAAAATGGAAAAATTAGAATCTGGTGCAAAGTCAAATTTATTTCAGTAATTCAACTAGACAGAGACTAAAGGCTCAGGAACCCTTTGCAGGTGTTTTCTATTTGTATTTATAAATTTTAATAGATTTGGGTCTTGTTTCATATCACACAGTGACTTTTGAATAATTAAAATGCATTTTTTTATTAAAAGCTTTAGTTTACAGTAATAACCATGTCTAATGTTTGATTCTCTGTCTCATGATTTTAATTAAAAGTTTTACTTTGAGAGCACATTTTCCTTAAAGAGCAAGTCACCCCCAAATAAACGTTTTTTTGCTGATGAACTAAAACGAGTGTCTAATCGTGCTGCAGACAAATGTCGTCAATAATTTGGCACTTCAGTGCATCTTAGTTAAAATTTAATTGTGCCTAAAACCTGCAGTGTTGTGCCGTTATCAGGTAAAAACTTTGCACTGTATTTTAATTTAAATCTGCCACCGCTATTGGCTAAGAGGTATGCTATGATGTAAACTGGTACATTATGATGTCACAATGCTGTCGTGAGCCTGTGTGTGTGTATTTGTTAGCAGCTCCGCCCTCTCGGTCTGCCTGGCAACAGCATTTGTTGCATTTTTCAAACATGAAGTGGGAATGGAGTTAGAGTCTGGTAGGGGTTGACTTGCTCTTTAACAATTAAAATGCGATTTATTTAGATTAATTACAAAGCTTTTAATTAATTAGATTACATTTTTTAATCAAGTCCCAGCCCTAAAAAAAAACATTTACCATAAGTCGGTTTATGTTTGGCTTGCTGCACAGACCATCCAACTTTTTTCAAGCATGGATAGCGCACTGCACATCTGTCCACACCGGCCGTGGTTCTGGCCATGTCTCCATGTCTCTTATTGCCATTGTTGTTATAATGAAGAGCAGCCAGCAGCAATCTGAAATAGAGAAACAGGAAAACCATGGTCACAAGTCCACACACACACACACACACACACACAAAATAATACTTGCCTAGTGTACATGCCCAGGTACGAGAACCCCATATGCTTCGGAGCAAATTTCAGGATCAGGGAGTGGAATGCCTCGAGTGAATATGTCTGATGCTGTGGTGACAGCTGTCTGACATATTTCACAAACAATGGCTGGCATGCTACTTGTTCCAGTTTAACTGCTGCACTTGATCCTGTTGGTCATTTAAAGATAAATTGAAATAAATCACACATAATTATATAACTTCTCCTAGGGTGTGTACATCAGTTACCTGGAATTAGCCATTGTTTGTTCCGGCCCTGTCCTACTAGTGGAGGGTGGAGACAAGATGGAAACACTTCTGTTCCATGTTTGTGAATGTCTTGTGCGTGGTTCACCAGTGACTTCCACTTAGCTTCCATTAAATCTGGATTTGCGTCGGGTGTGGATGCTGCTGTCCAGTAGAGGTGGTTAACAATGGACTGCTTCCACAATGCCAAATCCTCACAACCGCTCTCTCTGCTGACAGTGTCCAGTTTCTTGGCCAGACCTGGAAAAGTTAAAGAAATATTTTGCATACCTAAACGAAACTAGCTGAGCATTTAAACCATAACAGGAAAAATGTGGTTTTCTGCACCATACATCTGTAATGGTGAAACATTAAAATATTACCCTTTCCACAATGCCAGACATCATTGAAGTGCCTTGTTCCTTGTGGTCCAAGTTGTTCTCTGACCCATTTTGCAACCTGTCGATTGTGATCCGTTACAAGTACATCGACACTCATGTCATTATCTGAGAAGAGCCTGATGCTCCTCTTCAGCCCCTCAAGCTCACACCAGGAGCTGTTTGGAACCTCAGAACTCTAAAGTAATAGATGAAAAATACACAACACTGTTAAATTCACTACCACATAAGTTTTGATGAAATATTTATCTGTCTGCATACCTGCACAAGCTGGACATCAATGACCTTGTTTAGTCTCTATGAGTGTGTACGTTCCCGCTGAAATAGTCTGTACACCTAACAGCGACGGCATCCGTAAAGTCTGAGATACCAAACACCCTGTGAAGTGTATGGCCCCAGAAAGGAGAAGGTTGCAGGCTGGCATGTTTTTTTGGAGCATGGGCTGATTTCGCCAGGATCTGTTGTAACCACACAGATCACATTCCTGGAATAAACACAACCAAAAAAAATAAATAAAGATGAAAAGATAAAAAAAACTGGGTGTAAATTTAAAAATAGGGTGAAAATACGTTTAGTTACTTTTGAACAAATACATAATCGACCAACCTGCTGAATTTCTATGAAGGTTCCAGACTTCTTGGCAATAGCGGCCTCTGCCCATTCACCACAAATGCAGGTGCAGAACAGCTCCATCAGCTCGCTGTGGCAAACAATGTATTTGTTTGCCTGTGGATTTTGGCTGAGAATTAAAACAGATCATTAACATACTACACATTTCATTTGTGTTCCATTTTTAAAACCAAACAAGCACCAACTAACCAGCCTAGTTCATCCTCTAAATATCCATCATCTGATAAGAAATCATCAATAGACATGGGTTCAGATTCATCAAATGGATCGTAGCTCTCCTCCTGGTCATCTAGGGGCTCAAGTGACGATACTGGTGATAAAGGTGTTGAGTGCCACAACACATCACTCTCCTCACACTGGGTCCCCATGTCTCTGGTGGATGGATGTAGGTCAACCTGTGTTGCTGAGAATAGACATTTTTTAATGTAATGAGTTTGTGTTACATTAGCCATCGCAGCGTAGTTTGTGAATCAATAGTTTTATGGAAATCCTGGAAATTTCAGTTTAAATTGTGAAGACATGTTGTGCTCTGCATGTTAGTTTACCTGTAGAACAATAAGGAATGAGCTGTCTGAATCCACACCGTGTTGCACGATCCACTGTGGTAGAGGAGTGTTTCTGACCAGACATGCAGTCATCCGTCATGTCACAGGAGATGCAGCTGCTTCAGGAGTTTGTTCTGTTGTTTCGACTTGTGACAGATCTGCTATCATCTGAAAAGCAAGCATACAAATATGTACTTGAATTTGAAGATCAAGAACATTTAGGGCAAAAATAATTAAAACACATTAGCAAACTACTCATCGTAAAAGATGTAGACATAAAAATGTTGTTTAATGCAGACAAGATCACAAATGTTTGATTTGGGTCGGAACCTGTCATAATTTTAGGAGTCAGCAGATTGCCATGGGGATGTAAAAGCCCTGATGAATAGCCCAGCATGAATCTCAAAGTAACACATGGAAACCACACTAAAGTAGGAAATATTTGAGTGTTTAATAAAAAAACAAAAACGTACACAAACATTAGCACGAGTCACTCGAGAGAGCACAGCTGTACAAAATCATGTTATGAACTGGTGAAGCAGCTGGTTGAAACCGGAGGCAAGGGTTGTTCGTGGTGCTCAAATGATTTTAACCAGAATCACCGTGTCAGTTATTTTTCTGCTCACCGTCATTATAGAGAAACTTTGTGCAGTTTATCCCTCACTCAGCTGCACAATTGTACCCCAACATGGCTTAATAGACGTTATTTGTATTAACACATTTTTATCACTGAACGTTTTTGTCATTAATGGTTTTTAGAGATTCAACAATTACTCTGGCTACTTCCAGCTTGTGAGTTGCTGACCTGCGTGTAGCTCCTGAGTCTCTTCTGCTGCTGGAAGGAGCCGCCATTGTTGTCGTTCCGGAAGCAGCCTTCTCCCTTGTTGCCTTTTCCATGCATCGATGGTACTGCAGTGGATTTCAGTCTGATTTTGTTCATTTTTCTGAACCCCATCCTGTGTTCGAACAAGTCTCCTTCAATATAATCCTCCTCGTGGAAATGCACACCACAAATCACGGAGTTGTTCGAGACTTCTGGTAAAATCCTGCCTTTTTACCCAAGAAATCTCACCCAAGCACGGAAAGCTGGGTTTTTCTGCTTTGGGAATTGGAAAACACGATGTCCAAACTTGTTTGTCTCCCCCCCCCCCGTAAACATTAACCATATTTGAACTAGTTTACTTGGTTGGACCTCAGCAACTAAAATGGCCGATTTGTCGTTGTCCTCTCGTTTTAGTGATGCAACGTTCACGAACGAATCGAATGATGAGAGATGAGCCCCTGCAGAGAGCCGTTCACCTCAACAAACCTCCCCGGGAGTTGGCCAAACTCACCCGCTCAAACCCCAGAACCAATAAAATGCTTTAACTACTTCAGTTGTGTGTAATGAATCTAATATATAAGAAAGTCTGTTTATCAGTACATTACAGAAAATAATTAACTTTATCACAATATGCTATTTTTTTTAGAAGGACCTGTATATGGTGTGTGTGTGTCTGCTCTGTCCTCTCCATCCCCAGTGAGTCGTGGTGGATGGCTGCTTATACTGAGCCAGGAAAAACTGGAGGCTTCTTCCAGTTAAAAGCGAGTTTTCTTCTCTACTGTCGCTGCATGCTTGCTTAGTATGAGGATTGCTTTAAAGACTGACACTAGTCAGTGACTCGATGCAATTTGCTGGGTTCCTTATATAGGAAACTTTTTTCTGATTGCCTTAATGAAATGACCTGTATTGGAATGTTTATTATGTGAAGTGCTTCTAGACGACTCTTGTTGTGATTTGGCGCTTTATAAATAAAGTTGAATTGAATACGTTTCTCTCCAACCGATGCCAAAACAGAAAAAATGTGAGGAGTCAATTTTTTTTAGTGCAACAAATTAATTTCCAACCAAAACAGAACAATTGAAATGTGACAAATCTGGGCATCTAGTCATACATTATTACCACAATAACACTACATAGAAAAGGAAGGACACCTGGACTCTGCATGCAACACCAACATCCCAGGAACAGAACAAACACTTCAAACAAACTGTGCTAAACACGAATGTGCTGAACTAGACTTGGAGCTCCACTCTACTCCCACTCCTCGTCCTCCTCGGCAGCAGCAGCAGGGGCTGGTTGGATCTGGGAGCTGCTTTGCTGGAAGGACCCAGTATTGGGACCCTAAAGAGAAAAAATCTTGTGTAACATAAATAAAAACCTCTCAAGAGGTTCAGACACCAAAGACCTGCTTTGTTACCTTTCTGGAGTCTGTGGAGGAAAACATCTTCCTGGCAGCGTTGAAGCCTCCAGGACCGCTCAAGGCACATTCCTCTAACCAGGGGGGGACCTCCTGCTGGGCCTGTGACCCCAAAACAAAACAAAGTCTTTATTTCTCACTCTTCACCATCAATGAACTCAGAGGGGTCCTGGGGAAGTCCACACTAGACATTTCATCACTAAACTTGAGTTACACAGCTTCTGGGTCACGTTTACAGCTTTAATATATAGCCATAATGGACCTGGTGGAACTTAAAAGCTGGAAACGTCGTCCTCAGACTGGAACCAGTGACTCCTGCTGGAGGACTTCAGAGTCACCAAAACAACATCAGTAATACAAATGAACTAGAACTTCTTTATCAACTTTGGCTAAAACATCATTACTGATGTCATGTTTCATCTGGTGAGCGTTTCCCAGACTCCCAAGGTTAAAATGAATAAACGGTCAACTTATCTTTTAATTTAAAATTACATAATAACTTTAATTAAATAATTTAATCTACTGAAGTTTACCGACCTGGTCATATTACTAGAATTTTTTAAGTGCATAATAAAATATTCCCAGATGGTGTTCAGACGCTGTGCCAGTTCAAAGAGAGTATGGCTGAACGGACGCGGACACCCCGCTTTTGGCCGTGCGAGCGGAAGAACAGATTAGTCGCCTTTTTACGGGGACGGTGAGAGACAGCCAGCTGTTCGACAGAGTGGTGAAAACACTGGCTGAGCGGTGCGTCAAGCAGGACAAAAAGCAGGTCACATCAAAACTAAAGGTCCTGAAAAAGAAATTTCAGTCTGATGCTGAATGTGCGACCCTGTACGTCTCGGGGGGGGGGGGGGGGGGGGGGGGGGGGGTTGGAGAGGTGTCTGATGGCAGTTTATTCTAGCTTCAGCTTTGCTACTATAAATGACAAAATCCTCCCCAGGGTGCTGCGGCAAATCCCGTTTTAAAAACGCCATGGTCCTGTAAAAACAGCTTAAGGTGTGCACCCTGCTGACAATGGGACAACAGAATGGCAGTGACTGAAAGCATGGAGTGGGTGGAGGAGGAGGCCTACAGAGCTCCGGGAGTTGACGTCACTTCTCCCGGCATGCAACAGTTCAAATCGAAACGGCGCCATATTGGCATGCAGAAGCCGGCAGCTGAACTATTTGTTATTGTCAGAAAACTCAATCAAACGGGAAATATGGTAGATTCCTGTTGTGCCCCAGGATGCAGAACAGACGCAGACAACATAAGGAATGAGCCATCTACAGGATTCCCCAAGATCCGAAACGCCGCAAACGTTGGATGGTTGTAATAAAACGTGCTAGTGACCGGGCTAAAATGAAGCTGTGGGATCCCGAGAGTAAAGGTTTTCGTTTATGCAGCGACCGCTTCATATCAGGTACTTAAATGTTTCCTCAACTGTGTGTGGTATTTATTTTAAATGCTTTTATTACGATTCTTAGTGGGCTTCCTAAACTTATTTTGGCATGGGCTTTTTCTGTCTTATTACTCACAGCAACAAGTAAACATCACGTAAAACGTTGCCTCGTGATTTCTGCGTGCTGCTGTTTCCGTGTTTTATGATCACAGCAATTAACCGGCTAAGCTGTATTTAATTTTTAAGCAATGGTTGATCAATTGTCAGATCACACATAAAAAGCACTTTGGATTGCTATTATCTGTCTCACCGAGACTGCTTACGTGTAAATCTTTTATTTGTCCGTCCATCCATTTTCATCCGCGTATCCGGAGTCGGGTTGCGGGGGCAGTAGCGTGACTTCTCTCTCCCCAGCCGCCGGAGCCAGCTCCTCCGGGTAAATCCCAAGGGGTTCCCCGGTCAGGTCCGGTGTTGTGCCGGTAAGAAGTCCGCTCCGACAGCTTCTGGCGTCGGAGCGGGCAGTAGAGTTGAGAGTCCCAGACCTTCTCCCCAGCTCCTCCGGGTAAATCCCAAGGGGTTCCCCGGTCAGGTCCGGTGTTGTGCCGGTAAGAAGCCCGCTCCGACAGCTTCTGGCATCGGAGCGGGCAGTAGAGTCAAGAGTCCCAGACCTCTCCCCAGCTCCTCCGGCCGGGGAAATCCCAAGGGGTTCCCTGGTCAGGTCCGGTGTTGTGCCGATAAGAAGTCCGCTCCGAAAGCTTCTGGCGTTTTTAAAAAGTATCCCAGGGGCACGGGTCGGAGATGTTTAGTCTATTTAATTTCTGACTATATAAAACGATTTCTTCTGTTTTAAAGTGTGAAGTAAACTCCGACGAAGTAAAATCCAAGCGGATCCCATTCATGTTCATGGTTACATCCGTGTTTGTTTACCTTTTTTGCATGCCAAAATGGCGTCCACTAACTGAGAGTCACGTGGGGTCCGGAGCTCTATATGCCTCAAGTGGCATATATTTGCCAAATGAGGATATTTAAAAGCATGTCATTTTGACATATATAAACAGAGGAAAAAATATATCGCAATATATATCGTTACCGGACATGCTTCAGATTATATCGCAATATAGATTTGAGGCCATATCGCCCAGCCCGAGGTCAGACATCAAAGGGCTATTTAGAACCAGAGGAGATGGGAGTTCCCATCTGGACCCAGTTTGACTAGTCTCAGAGCCTAAAACTGATTAAATCAAATGATAATGACCCGCACTTGTATAGCGCCCGTGTCTAACTGTTCTAGGAGCAGTAGAACCAGTGAGGGGTCAATAGTGGGCGGTACATCTTACCTTGGACAGGATGGACACCAGGGCACCAGCCAACTGGCTGTCATTATCGGGGTCAAAGAAGGACACGGCTCTGCCGATGTTACCACAGCGACCGGTCCTGCCAATGCGGTGGACGTACTCGTCGATTTCTTTAGGGAGGTCAAAGTTCACCACATGCTGCACGTCAGGGATGTCCAAACCCCGAGCCGCCACCGACGTGGCCACCAGAACCGGGTGTTTACCAGTACGGAAGTCACGCAGGGCCTGCTCACGCTGCTGCTGTTCCCGGTCCCTGTGACACACACACACACACAAACACACACTTTAAACACTAGAACCACACTGGAACACCACACCAAACAGGGTTCCTGACATACCCGTGGATGCTGGTGGTTGGAACCTTCTCCTGACACAAGAATGTGGCGATGAAGTCTGCTTGTCTCTTGGTCTCTACGAACACCATGGTTCTCTCTGATCCTGGACCCAACAGAACCAGAATCAACCTCCCTTCTAACCTAGCAGGAACCAGCAGCTTTAAGACTAAAGTCTGATTCATGCTTCTCCGTCTGCGTCAGTGGGGAGACACGCTACATCCTTGCGGGCCTGCCAAAGAGCTCCGCAAGGACGGACGGAGTCGAGCTCTCTTTTCTAAACATCCGTCAGGCGAGATGGACAACGCAAGCTTGTGATTGATCAGGACGTCGCGGTCGTCTACACCGCCGGCATTGCACCCTCAAAAACATAAAGAGAGCCAAGGATAACTAGCGGCAGACACGGAGCAGCTTGAAGAATACCTTGCAAAAAAACTCTAAAAACGTGAACGTTTAATTCCCCGTGACTGGAGGAGTGAAAAGATGCGCAGCAAGCGTTTTATTTGTGGACGGAAATGACAGGAAACGTGGGTTTAGAGGTGGCAAGCACATGAAGAGGTAGAGGAGGATAAGAGACAAATTTGTCCGTGTTAAAAAGTCTCTTATATACAAACAAACACAATATAAACACACTATCTTGGACCAGATACATGACAGGATACCACAGAACAGCGCTACGCCCTCTGTTGTCCTGGTGGGGAATTGCTTTGCAACACTCTCCAGGAGACGGAGAAGTATGAGAGCAAAATGCTTCCGTCAATCCGTGCGTGTCTGTCCCTTGCGGAGCTGACGGAGAAGAATGAATCAGGCTTCTCAACATTAAATTCAAGACCTTTTCAAGACCTTTAACCCCTCTGAAATAAAATTAAGACTTTATTCCAATTGTCAGCTTGACTTTTAAATAATGTAAAAGCCAATTATGGAAATTATTTACTTTTTATTTGTTTTGGAGAAGATTTAAAGGATAAAAAATGTTAGAATATCTTATTTTGTAATGTTGTTAACAGTGTTTGGCATTCCACCTGATAGTGAGACGTCATGTAATCAGCGGTGATCCGTTAAGCCGGAAGCAACAGTTAGTAGACAGAGCTGTACCACGATTATTTTCTAAAGCCTTGTTTATTCGTCTACATCAGAGCAGAGATGCAATGCCATCATCTGTTGTCGCAAGGCCTCTCCAACAGGCACACAAAGACCGAGTAGAGCCTAGTTTTCTAACTATCCATCGGAAGTGATTGCGATCAGAAGCGATAGACAAAAACTCTGGATCATGTTATGGCAGCACAAAATATCACAAATATATTGTTATCGCGATATCAGCATGCACAATAAGCATATACAAAGAACAGATAAATATCTGAATGGTCAGCTCAAATGTTTGCTACACATAATGCATTCTGTCAAATGAATGCGTGACTTTCATTTTATCAAATAGAGCTCTTCACCCATTTGGCCAGTTGGATGGGTTCTCATAGGTTAGATAAAGTCCAACCCCCGAGGCAGACGGCACTTAATTTTGATGGTTAGCAAACACCTGAGTTAGCTTTGCACTGCTCTTTCTGCTGATTCTGCTTTTTCTTAATTTTCTTTTTCCCTTAACTTGCATCATTTGCTTTTCTCATTTTTAAGAATTTTTTGGTCATTTTTTTATTTCTTTGATTTTGAATAATTTTGATCCAGACTTAAGTTTTTATTTATCGCAAGTAATATCGCCATCACAATATTAATCACTGTTATTGCATATCGCTGGTTTTCCTAATATTGTGCAGCCCTAATTCACATGAACGTTCGACTTCCTTGCTGGAGAGCGACAAGTTTTCAAGTGTGAGACAAACTGATTTTAAATTCACATCACTACAAATTTCTTTTTTAAACACAGATAAGGTGTTTAAAAAAGAACCAAAAATGGAATTAGAAGACAAACACAGCAAGAACGTACAAGAGGTATACCGTAAATCCTCTAATACAGGCCCGGGCCTGTATTTGACTCAAGTTCATCAAGCTCCAGGCCTTTATTGGAAGGAGGGCCAGTATTAGAGGCAGGCCTCTATTTCTATTTGAGCAAAATGAACTAATGGTTTGCTGGAGTTTTTGACAATTAAAATTGTGCCCACATTTTCAAAGTTAAACACATTTCTTTTAACAACGGTAGTTTCTGCTTCAGCCCCCTCCCCCTGCGCAGCAGCCGCAAACTCACTGATGCTCCTGCAGCCTCTCAGAGTTCCTGCTGCTCTAAACATTAAAATAATTATTTCATTTTCTGTTCCTCACTTCTGATTACCTTCAATGGTGTCTGTTTGTTGCAACAGCAGGTACAAAAACTAACTTGTTTTTATTTGACTATTTTTCTGTCCTGTCTGTTTATTATCTTCCTGCATCTCCTCTCAATCCTAAAGAAAAGCTGCTGCCTGGGTTCATATATATTCACCTCATGAGTTACCTTTGAACTGCAGGTCTAAAAGATCTATCGACCGCAAAAACAGCGGAGCGCTTGCTGTTTGGCGGCCGTATCAGTGATCAGTGCGTCGGAGGACAAGGTGATGCCCGCAGCGCCCCGCTCCACAGCATGCAGCGAAACGCATCAGGCGCAAATAAAAGACAGAAAACATTAAAGGAAATGAACTGACATGAACGATCGCGTGTTAAATTCGTTTTTGAGGTGGCGACACCTGATTGTTACTGTGGCCGTGCTCAGGAGGCAGATCTACCGACCGCGAAAACAGCGGAGCGCTCCCTGCTTGCCGGCCGCATCAGTGATCTGTGCGTCGGAGGACAAGTTGATGCGCCCAGCTCCACAGCAGCGATACACATCAGGCGCAAATAAAAGACAGAAAACATTAAAGGAAATGAACCGACATGAACGATCGCGTGTCAGTACCTACGGGAGCGTGGTTTCACAGACGCGGAAGTGATAGCGTCGGTGAAACGCCGGCTGCTCTAGGAAACCCCCGAGCGTTCGAGCGTCAACGAAGTGACACGGAAATGCCGGGCTTTCCAGAAGTAAGTAAGATAGCTTACTATGAGCTGATAGTTCGTTGGATTGATTGGTAGGTTGGAAACTCTGATCGTGAATCTGAAGAAACGATGACTGAGCTGTAAAGGCGACTTCCGTTTATAGCCGCGGTTTGTGACGTAGGTGCGACGTGGAGGGAATCCCCGCGAGGGGCATGCTGGGAGTCCCTACTTCGCGGATTTTCACCTATCGCGGCCAGGTCTGGAACGCATCTACCGCGATAAACGAGGGATTACTGTAGTTCATACACCCCCTACTGCTGCTCTCCAGAGTGTTCTGCAGCATAATCAGCACGTTCTCTTTGAACTTGATAGTGTAATGACCTGGCTGGGGTTGTAAGCCAGGTGCATTCTGGGTATTGTGTTATATGTGTTTCCTATCGTTCTGCTAGTTCCTATGTGCTGATTTGCGTGTTGTGTGAGTGTTATGTAAGCCACAGGGAAGGTGATGTGTGTTCTGTGGAGCGGGTTGAATTAGCATGGTTAACTGACACCGTGACTCTGTGTGGTAGGAGCGTGATAGAGGATCGTGTCTGAAGCCTTACAAAGCTTGGAGAAAAAGCCTAATACAGGTCTGCGTGAACCCCTACTGCCTCCTGCTGGTTGATTTGGGGACTATAACCCTGCCGCTGGGACTTTCGTACTTGCTTGTTACCACATTCCATCCGGCCACAATAAGAGACCGGCCAGTATTTACCTCCGCTGACTCCGACACCGGCCAAAATTGGAGACCCGGCCTTTAATTGAATGCCGGCCTGTATTAGAGGATTTACGGTATTCTTTTTTTGTTTATCCATGTAAAAATGTTTTTGAACAATCTAACATTTCTGATGAATATCAGAACAAATAATCCTAAAAAGTATAGAATACATTTCAGCATAATTATAAATTATGTTTTTATTTAAAAACTTACTGATATGAATACAAAATATCTCAGTTTTTATGTTAAGGTTCTTTTTCCAAACAATGAAACACAAGGTTATAAAATGAATAAAGATGAAGATACTTTAAATAAAATACAAAATACAATGAAAACACTAAATTCTAAATTGTCTGAATTAAAGTCAAACATGTTAAAACACATAACATTTTACCCTATTTTCTTGATTAATTTTTCATTTTTTTTTGCTCATAGAAGTTTTACTTCAGGAGTTTGAATAACTGCGTTTAAAAGAATGCTCTGATGCATTTTTTGCCACTAGCATCACTTTCTTGTTGGAGGTTTATCAAATGTCTTTTACCTTTGTTTAATTGCGTTCAGATCAGCTGATCTGTGCTGGTCTGACCCAAGCCCCCACAATGCGGCTCAAATATTGAGGCCAACCCGGAAGTACCATAAATTGCAGTTCCATTCTCATCCACTGGGGGCTGGTGTCAGAAGCGAGCAAATCCTCATCGACTCCCATGTTAAAAATACCAATTTCACAGCAGAAATAAACATGTTTACAGCCTGGTACCAAAACATGTTTTTGGTTTAAATGATCTAGTTTACACTCATGACAACTCTGAGGGGGGTGAATTTTTTTCCTCACTCTTCTGTTTAAGTGCATTAAAAGCCTAAAATTCTGTATAATTAATGAGCATCAGACCCACGTGACCACAGAGCTAGCTCCGTGGAAAGGCCTCAGTAGAGCCTCGGTCTGGCCTGGAAACTGCTACGGGATTTTGAGTCTCTGTGTTTGTGTATTCTTTTTTGGATATTTTTGTGCAATTGTTGGACAAAATGACTTGCTGTGGCATTAATTGCACTAATAGAGCGTCCAAGGAGTCTCCACTTCATTTTTTTCGGTAAGTAAAATTATATTTATGTATTTTAGGTCACTGCCGAGCTGAGCTTAGATTTTAACATGTACTGTTTAACCATGAAATTTAAATGTAATAGGGTAAAACCCAGTGCATTTAACATAATGCTGCACTTTAGAAAATGGGTTGAAATATAACATGTTGGTGGAGCTGGGTTCCGACTATCGGCTTGTGGAGCTCTCGGGAGACCGATGTTTCCCACCCGTTCTCCCCTCCCCGCTAGGGCTGTCGCGGTAACCGCAAAAAATGAAATATCGCGATATGAAGAAACCCACCGCGCTGCATCATGCGCCACCGCGATTACTGAACTTGGTTCAACTCAATGATGCATGCTGAGAAGGATGGCTGCACTGGTATCAAAACGAAACGTTACTTCGCTCCTTTGGGAGCACTTTGGTTTTCAGTACGTCAGCTGCTGCGCAGCCAAGAGTCCTTGGCCGAGACAGAGCTGCCACCAGCGGCAAAAAAATTATAATAAACGCTCGGAGACCTGCTGAAGACCCGGACAAGCACTGCTTCTGCAACCGTCCCGAAGAGAGTTTTAGCCGAGCTGGAGCTCACTCGCTACCTGCAGGAGGAATGCATCCACCCTAAAGAAACCCCCCTGACATGGTGGAGCAACAACCGGGAGAGATTCCCTTTGCTCGCCAGAGTCGTACGCAGGTACGTGTGCGTTAGTGCAACGAGCGCACCATCCGAGAGGGTTTTCAGTGTTGCTGGAAATGTTGCCACCCCTCTCAGATCCTCTCTCAGACAGAGTATATGGTTAACATGCTGGTTTTCCTTGTAGGTAACAAGGACGTGACCGAGCTATAAATCACCGTCATTCGTGTGTGTGAAAGTGAAATGATAGCGTGCGCCCGGTACATGTAATTTTTTATGCTTGATTTTAAACAACTAAACAAAATGGGGACTTGTTTCATATTTGTTAGATGCTGCAGCCAAATTTGCATTTAAAAGTTTAACCTCCTGAATTTTGTTGTTTTTAAGTTCAGTCGGACTCCGACTGTCGGAGAAACAAACGTTACTGCGATCTGTGTTGTTACTGCCCTTTGATCTGCATTCAGTAAAGTGTTATTGAAGAAGGCACAGCAATTTTTAACCTTTTTTAAATGTGTAAACATTATGTTTAGATAGTACTGCAATAAAAAAGGGCTGCAATAATATCGCACACCGCAATATTAAGCCACCCTGAATCACCGCAGGGGGAATTCCTCAACCGCGACAGCCCTACTCCCCGCAGCTCGGCGCATCTCTGTCTGATCGCGGCTTCTGTCTGCTGCACGGGCTGCCGGCTTTCAGCAGCTTTCGGGAGACCTCTGTGTTCTACCCGGTTTTACCTAGCGGTCAGCCCGGCGTATCTCTGACTCAGAAGCTCTGGTGTTGTGCACAGTTAACTCCGGTCGTAGCTAGGTTGCTACCTCCGTTAGCTTAGCTCCCACCTCTGCGTTAGCTTTGGGTTAGCTTCAGGTTAGCATGTAGCTAGTTCGACCAGGTGTCGTCAGTTGATCCCAGCCTTACAGCTCCACCCTCAGCTCCACCACTCTTCCCTTTTGTGGAATTGTCTGGGCTTGACGGAACCTGTGACACTGTCAAAATGGCGGTGGTGGCCACCTCCCATCTTAGCCCAAAAACGTATTGGAGTCTATGGAAACTCATTGTCCAATATTTATATGTCGATGGTCTGACTCACCGCGGTGCACACCAGCGCAAAGCGAGAGAGAGGAGACTAGATCCGTTCAACTTAGCGGGCCCAACAGATTAAACTAGGAAGGACTGAGGAGAAACTGTTTAAACTAAATCACAGGAGATGTCTAAAACGCTTTAGTGTCCATGTTGAAAAACTAACGGGATTTAAGAGATTTGGCCTTAACGAGATTTTGACGTTACGACTTTACTCTCACTCGGCATATTTCACCGAGGATGTTTTTCGGCTCACCATCTGACCCCTATAATCCAAATCAGGTCCGTGTAACCAAAGTTATCCTGTTATCACTTCTTTGTCCACGCGCTCCGCTGCTGCGTTTGGTCCAGAGCTGACGCAGACTGACAAAATTTATGTAAAAGCGGATGAAGCGCTAGTCTGTCTCGCCATTCATCAGCAAGTGCAACTGCTTAGTGGGTAGTAAGAATTCTAATCATACTGGGTATATCATACCATTTATACTGCATATTACTACGACTAACCAAATGTAAGACGTAACTAAACTGATTCAAGACTTTTAACGGTCTTCATTTTTCTTACATTAAAGGGACTTTACGGAGTTTGGAATTTTTATGCTTGCGACTGCTTCCTCAGGCCAAAAGCGTAACGGCAGATTCAATAGTAGGCTCGTGCACGAGGCGCGCATGCTGTACGTGCACACTCCTTAATGAAAATAACAGCTGAGACAGTCCCTTGTGTGTGTGTGTGTGTGTGTGTGTGTGTGTGTGTGTGTGTGTGTGTGTGTGTGTGTGTGTGTGTGTGTGTGTGTGTGTGTGTGTGTGAGAGAGAGAGAGAGAGAGAGAGAGAGAGAGAGAGAGAGAGAGAGAGAGAGACCCAGAGGACAGGAGAACACGCAGCTAATTAATTAAATAATTTGGTTCTGTACTTTTCTCTTCAGCACAGCCGACAAAGGTTTAAGATGGGTCAGTCCTCCTGCATGCTCAGATCATTCCCTTCCCTTGCTTGAAAAATTGTTCCAAAATGAAAGTTGAACCTAGTTTAAACCTTTTTATCCGTGAATTCAATGCCGTTTGGCGAGTCTCAAATAAAAATTTGGGCATCTTACTGTAAAAAAATAAACCATTAATGTAAAAAAAGAAACTCTAAATAAACTATGTTCACATCCAGAATCGAACCCAGGACTCCTGCACGAGAGTCTGACGTCTTAATAGTTGAGCTAAAGCACCAGTGACGTCCTTCCTATCTGTAACATTTAAATGCTTGATGACAGCTGAGACAACATTCAAAGAAGGGTTCGGAGCGAAAATGGCTATTTTGTTGCTAATTTGCAGGAAATATCTAGAAGAAAGCTCTACAGAAAGTAGCTAAGGGTCCTCAGAAATGTAGCTAGCTTTGTCACTAGGTGTTAGGAACAGCGACAAAGACTAAAGCTACAGATAGCAAATGCTACGGGCGATGCCTGAGCGTGAACGCGCATGAAGCAGCCTGCTCGACCCGAGCATCTCTCTTTTTCTGTGATTTTACAGAAAAACAGGCAATCACAGTAAAAATGCCAGGGCTCATTCTACAGGACCAGGGCATTGCAGGAGAATGTATGAAGAAGACATTTATTATTTCTATACATGTTCTGACTGTCAAACTTCCATAATGTCCCTTTAATTTCAAGACTTAAAGACTTTTCACGACCCCGCGGATACCCTGTATTTGATCATCTTGCCTCGAACTGGACAACAACAACTCGACTGTACCACTGATTCTGTTTGCTCTGCAATGCTGCTGTTTAATTTCCACAAATGCCACAAGCCTTAAGCAGTTCTGTTGTGTGGTGGAGTTGCTAATGCTAAGCTTCTGCTAGCAGAGATGTTCTCAGCTGATTCTGGACACTAAATCAACAGCCTTCCTTGTCACGGGCCAGTATGGGTAAGTCCAAACGGCCACTTGTAGATCTGTCAGCATTTTCAAATCCTAGTTTCACCAGTTTACTACCTTAAATCCATTGATCAACTATAACACCCCACGGATACCCTGAACACCTACCGGTGTTTTTCAGGAAGTCCAGCAGCTGCTCCCTCTTGGCAAACTTGGTGACCTTAACAAACTTCTGCTCCACATCACTGCAGGCTCCGCCCACAACCCCCACAGCCAGAAACACATAGTCCACTTTGAGGAAGTCCGCTGCCAACCTGTGAACAAAACCTCCAGGTTTAGTGGACTGCCTTAACAACTCAGCTCAGACATGGAGACCATGGAGTACAGACCTCTGGATGTCCTCAGGGTAGGTGGCGCTGAACATCACAGTCTGACGGTTTTCTTTGGAGGGCATCCCAGGAGATCCCACCAGACGACGCATGTCGGGTTCAAAGCCCATGTCTAGCATGCGGTCGGCTTCGTCCAGCACGAGGTATTTCAGCTTACTCAGACCAACCTGGAATAGGAACTGATTTAGAGCTTTCTCCTGACGTTTGAACATGCAGACGGACTCACCACACCTTCTCTCTTTTGATCATGTCTAACAGACGTCCAGGAGTTCCACACAGAACATTGCAGCCCCTGCAGATATCTCTGATCTGGTAGCCAGTGCTGACTCCTCCATAAACCACCACTGGGCGCACACACGTCCTGCAGCAGAGGACAGAACAGTTACACCCCAGCATGCACCTGTGGGACAAGTTCCCTTGCAGCCGGCCCAGCGCACCCATGTGAGAACTTCCGGGCCTCCAGGTAGATTTGGTTTATGAGCTCTCTGGTTGGAGCCACAATGATAACTTCAGGCTCCTGGAGCTCGCTGAACTGACTGGCTGCCACGCCGTCCGCCATCAGCTTCTGCAGGATGGGCAGCAGGAACGCAGCCTGGAAGACAATACCCAGGGTACATTGACACTAGTTCACAGCTTCTGTTCGGACACGACTTGTTTTGGTCTCACCGTTTTACCGGATCCGGTTTGGGCAGAGGCCATGAGGTCTCGGCCAGCAGAGATGATAGGGATGCCATGTTTCTGGACTGGAGTCGGCTTTACGTATCCAGACTTACTGATGTTCTTCTTCAGGGACTCACAGAGCCCCGCCTCCTCAAAGGTCTGAGGAGAAAGCAGCTGTTAAGATACATGGTCCAGAAACTTGCTTAGTTCTCATCCCATTAGAACCATGTTACCCAGTCCCTCTGCATCAAAGTTCTTAACCTTCATCTCACCTGTTCTAGATAAGTCTGAACAGCCTCTGCTCAGACAGCTCTGCAGGACTGATGAGCTAACGGCTAGTTTGAGATTAACCCAGGCTGTTGTAGGGAAACAGCCCAGATTTCTGTCATTTTAAAAACTTTTTAATAACACGCGTTTGTGATCAAACCAACGTCTGAGGCAGACAGGATGCTTCTATCTAGACTAGGGCCCGACTGATATATCGGCCGGCCAATACAGGGGTCATCAACACTATCGGCCAAAAAGATGGCCGATATTTCGCTACCTATCCAGCAGATGGCGCCAGCTTTATGAACTCATGTTGTGTGGCTCCACTCCTCGGGGGGGTGGAGCCACCATCACAGCACACATGTAGCGGAGCAGCAGAAGCAATTCAGTCAAGCAGAGATGACGGTGATGAGGAAGTAGGAGGAAAGTCTTCAGTTTTAAGCATATTTGTTGTGTCAGTGGTAAGTTGAACGGTAAAATAAGCAATGACAAAAGTATGTTTCCTCTCAACATGCTTCCTAAGTTTACTGTGTGCCTCGTGGCCTCGTATTGAAAAGTTAACCTGAAAAAATAAAATAAAACTGCTGCAGCATTATGCTCTATGCAGAACTCACACTGCTTCCCCTTTTTCTGGTAGATATTCTGGAATATTCTCAGACAATTTCCTCCGCTCTTCAGCAGTCTTTTCAAACTCACGCGGTTCACCCGCGGCTCGCGAAAAAAATAGTGCAGACGCCGAAACGATCGCTGCACAGAGCGGGCTGGAGCGCCGGCGCGCAGCGCTTCGGCGGCCCATGTGGCCTATAGAATAGGATAACAAGGGTGACGAATGAAGGCGATCCCCGTTTCGCAGCGCTTCGGCGGCACACGACCATTGTCGCAGCTGAGGACGGGCGAGGGGGGGTTGGCAACAAAGCAATGAAACGCTGTGCAGGGAGTCCCCCCTCCTCTCCCAGCTAGGGAGAGGAGTGGGGGGGGCGGTAATACGAGAAAATAAACATTCCTCTCTATAATAGAATAAATCTATTGTATTTTTCAGCCTTATATTTTACATAAGGCTTATACATTGCCACATATTAGTCATTTAACGTATCTTATTTTATTTTCCTAATAATAATAATTTATATAACGCCTGTTTAATTAACCAACATTTTTAGTGTACAGCGCCTTGTTTGGTTGTAATGCCTTGTGAATGCGCTTTATAAATAAAATTGGATTGGATTGGATTGGAATACTGTCGGCTTTGGAAAGGATCAAAACACAAAAGTGTAAAACTCAAAAGTATTTTTATGCCAAAAATCAGGTGACAAATAAAAACAGGTAGCTAGGACGCTGAAACCAGCAGAGTATGACTGAAACTGAACCGTGTGCACTGAGGATTGAGAGATGACAGACGACTACTTATGAGGAGGAGCTGTGAGTGGGAGCAGAGTACAGCAGGGGAACACAGGAGGAACTATAAATGATTTTTAAAGAAGAAAGAATCCTAAAAGGGAAAGAAGAATAACTAGATAAAAACCTGACAAACGGAGTAGAAAATTCAGTGGAAGGAAAAAAAAAAAAGACTTGAATATTAAATGAGAAAACCTTAACAGCTTGGGAACCAAACAAAAACAGAGTCATTAGTTTTGAGCCACAATGTCATATATCATTTACTTACGTGATAATTTTTAAACTTGTAAGTATAAAAATGCCACATTTAATGTATTGTACTTTGTCTTGGTATCCACAGATATATAACTGTACTTTGATGCTGATTATTTTATTACAGATGGAAAAAGTGGGTCGTAGTAAGGTGTGGCCCTGCTTCGCTTAACATCCATCCGGTGATGTCATCTGTAGCATCTGCTCATCTTCAGTAGTAGTTTGTGTGTTCTGTTGTTTTTGAGATTGCAAAATAAATCTTATTTGTATTGCTTGGAAACCCTAGTGAGTTATTGAGACAGTTCTTTGATGTGCAATATAGAAAAATGTTAGCATCAAAAAGGCAGAGAATGAAGGGTTTAATCTTAAGAACATTTGTTTTTATTTCTTTTTTTATGAGGGAGATTTATCGGTCATTATATCGGCTACCGGCCTTTGTTTAGTTTTATATCGGTATCGGTCCCAAAAAAAGCATATTGGTCAGGCCCTAATCTAGACACGGAGACTGGAGCAGATTTGGTCTGGTGTAACCTGCCAGAGGCTGAGACCAGTCTGTACACACAGGAGAAAATAAACCAAGAGTGGTTAAAATTTTAAATGTTCGTCAATGAAGTGATTAAAAACATTGTGAACAAACAAAAAAGGGAACAAGAACATCATGTTAACTTAATACTGAATGATGAACATTCATCTCATGTCTCTCGGTATAATCCAGGTTTGTATTCTGATGCAAAATTTGGTTCCTATTACTTTGTTTCTTTAGGTCTTGTTTCATCAGGACCAAACAACAACAACACTACAGGTAAGGTAAATATCTGACCCCTCGGAGCAAGGAGCTGGAACCGAACTGGTTCGTCTCCACTCAAACCTCAGACTCACGTTGGACCAGACGTTCGTCTCTCTTCTTCACGTTTAGATAATATCAGACTTACAGACCACCTTCTTAAGTGCTGATTCTGATAAAAACACCTACAGGACTCTGATGTCACTAGCTGGGAGGGGCTTTAGTGTGTGTTTTTTTAAGCTCTCTTTACAACCACACACACACACACACACACACACAGATAAGCAACACAGACGATGTGTCAAAGACCATTTGGACCAGAACCTGAACCTAGGTGTGGATGAGGAGTCTGGGAGCAGCCTCCATTACATTTTACTCACATTTCAGCAGATGGGCGAAAATGATCCTTTAAATGAAAACAAACTTAAGGCTGTAATTTAGGTTTTCAGATGTTTAATGTTAACCTTTCAGGACCGGCGGGACCGCCGGTGCTCCTCTATTTGCATATCTGTGTTCAAATGCTTGTAGAACTGAAACTACATAAGATAGAACAAAAATGTTTTTTCATATTAAACCGGAGGAATTACGCTTATATCAACACGTCCCAGAGCGCTACGCATTTTCAGCTAATGAGTTTGCAAAAAAACAACCAAAATGTGCAAGAAAAACGTTTTCATTCAGATGGCTGTGTTGCTCTGATCTGCAGCTCACACAGCTTCACACGCTAAAATAAACCTCATCATATTGTCAACGTGAATTGTCACATGATTATAACTCACATCACCTGCTTTGATGTCATTTTCCCGCAAATTGTGGTTCTTTGTAGTCCCAGGTTTTTGGCCTTTTTGCAATAATACGTTTAGACAAACACACCCCAAACCACTACAAACTCCTGACACACATCACTACGAACGTTTTGACTTACGGACCCGCCAAACAGTACAACCTCTCCCTTTTTGAAGCGGTTTATGCCATTACATCTCTGGATGATGTTTAAGTTTCAGTTTTCTCATGTAAATATTCTTTATTATTGTTATTATTAGTGAGAGAAAAGGAAAACTATATGCTACAACAAAATTAGCCACAAATCTTCAACATTATATTAGACTCCTGCTGAGTATTATTAATGTTTTTGATAGTTCATAAATTAGTGCATCTCAGAAACTAAATTATAGAAGCTTTTCAAATGAATGTGTTTTTTAAAGGATTGTGTGCAACTTGTTTTCTTTGACAATTTGAGATAAAGGTGTGGCATTCCTGTATGATGAAAAATGTGTAAAAACAAAAAACGATTTCTACGTGGATAATTTCATTTTTTAGTAAATGATTTAATTGCTATGAACTTTATGAAACATTTTAGCCTTAAATTTTAATTATTTCCCTCTATTGCTTCGTTAAATATTGTATTTACTTCCTCCAAAACCTAAGGATGTCCAACAGAACCATGACTGTTACAGTTTAACCTGACCGTTATTAATTCCACTACGACATTTTAATGATGGGTGACATGATTTTGACTTCACATGAAACCAGTAGACCCAGTACCATGATGGCAGGTGGTGGGTTGGTGCCGCTGACTTCCACCGGGATGTCGTCGTACTTGATGAAATTGATCCCAGACTTGTAATGAAAGAAGATGGACTCTTCGTCCTCGGGGAGCGTCGGGGGAATGTACGTGACCCTGGGTCCTGTGGATAAGAACAGAACCTCTGAGTTCTGCTGATCTAAAACTTGTTGGTCCTGTAAACGTTTACTTACGTTCCTCGCCGTTTGCCTCCTTCTCTGGATCTCCGGAGTTTCCTGCAGACATGAAAAACATCAGAGTCGTTTCCAATTCATAAGAGTTTAATCTTTAGTTTAAAGGTCAGAACCTGTTGAGAAGTCCTCTTCATCCTTCCCACGGTAACCTGAAACCATCATCATCATCATTAGCAACAGACACAAACTCCTCAGTAGCACCTGGTGCTGCTCCTGTACCTCCTCTGAAGCCTCCTCTTCCTCCATTGTCACCATCTTCAACACATCCAACAGTCAGTTTATGATCAGAAAACACAAGTCTGTGTGTGTGTGTGTGTGTGTGTTACCTGATCCAAACCTTCCTCTGCCTCCTCTTCCTCGTCCTCCGAACCCTGTCAGAATTACAGATGGAGCTTTATTTAAGGTCGACGACAGAAACTAAACCGAGAAACGGGTCGGAACAGAAACTTACCACCCTCCGAGTTACCTGCGGATCAAACAAAAACTTGTTAACTCAGGCAAACTCTTTAGTTACGCAAACTCAAAATCTACTTATTTACCATGAGATCCATTCTGGTCCGATCCGAACCTTTGACCCCTTCCTGATGAGATACACACATACTTTAGTTATGACATCACTGTTTCCTTTCTGATGTTTCTGGCTGTGTCTCAATTCAGGGTCTGCATCCTTCGTCGGCCGATTACGTCACAGCACCGCGACTAGGCCTGTCTCAATTCGAAGACTCCTTCAAATGTGGTCGACAATTCCGGCCTTCTTTTCGCCTGTATGAAGGATGGGTCCGGTATATCCTTCAATGGTTCACATTTCCCAAGATGCCTTGCGGGTCGGACGGCAGAACTTTTAAAAACAATGGCGGACAGTGAAGGATTGCGCATATAAATGTCAGTATAAAGTTGAAAACTGTTAGGTCAAGGACTTGTTGTGATACATGACCGTTATTTTAGTTTGAAATGTTACAGTAAGAGTGCTTGTATTGCGGTCTCGACTTGTATGTTCGGCCGCTCTGTGACGTACTTCTCCCGCTACGTTTTCCCGATTTTAATAGGAGTTTGTATTTTAGGGACAAAAGAGAAAACCAGGGAATTTATTAAGCTTAGGGCAAAGATGGACCACATGATCACTGGAGTAAAGTATTCGGCGGCTGTGGCATGGAGGTACAATAACATCTCATATTTTAAAAACTGTCGTTTGAGTTTATTTTTTTCTGCGAAAACATGAAAGGAATAACCCGTTGTCCTCTTTTCTCTTCCTGTTGTTTTTCTTACACGTTTGTTAAGACTATTCTGGAGGAAATGGGCATCCAGGAGAAGGTGACCGCGATGACCAGCTTTTGGAGCTTATCAGGGAGGACATGAGGCTGCAGAGGGAGGCAGAGCAGCAGAGGGCACAGGAGAGAAGGGAGAATTTTGACAGGCTTTTTACTTTGCTAGAAAAAATGGTTAAGAAAGATTTAACATGTACATATTGAAGAAATATCTAAATAAAATCAGTTCTGTATTAAACACTTGAATTTTATTTTTGTTTACAAATGTGAATTGTTTGATATTACAGGGTATCCGCTGGGTCTTGAAAAGTCTTAAAAGGTGATAAATCGGTTTTGGTCAAATGAAGACCCTTAGACAGTATTAAAAACTATTATCACATCTTTGCTCAGGCTCAGCTTGTCGAAAGTGCTTTCTCTGAATTAGCTCTCCAACAGTCAAGGAAACGATTAAAAAGCTATATTTAACTTCGAGCTCCATCGTTTAAAGTTCCTTCTCCCTTCTGCTCAGCGGTTCCACGGTTGCTAGGCGACGGAACGTTCGCCGAGGGAGTGGCGGGAACTCATGAAGGCCTGTCCAAATTCACAGCCGTTAACATCCGGTCTACTCGGCCGACGGAGGACCCAGCCCACGTCGGCCGAACAGGCTGGGTCCTTCGAAGGATGCAGACCCTGAATTGAGACACAGCATCTGTGTGAAAGTTCTAATCACTAAGCCCTGGACGAACAGTAGAGCTGCTGCTGTTTGTTAACTGAATTAAATCTAAACTGAGCTGGTAAACCAAGAGCTGTGTGATGGTTTAATAAAGCAGCATCAACATGAAACCAGAGGAAATATTGATAAGAGTGTTGTAGATGGCACCGTCACTTTGGTCTTGTCTACATTTAGACCAGCCATTAGCTCATCGCCTTGAAGAGCGTAAACTCTACTTCTGCTAATTGAGGGTGTTCAGGAAGCAGGTGTTCATCTACAGCAGCTGTAGATGTAGCTGTGGGGGGATCCATAGCTTAGCAATGTGTCTGCTGAATCCCCCATCAAAATAAAACTAATGTATATCGTTACTCTCGTATGAATGAATGAATGATTATTTACATCGTGCCTTACATAACCCAGAGGGTGATCTAAGTTCTTAACATTAAACATGGAAAGAAATTAAAAAAAAAAAAAAAAACATTTACAAACTACTGTAAAAAAAGTACATAATCAGTCAGTTTAAAACAATTTAGAAAAAAATTTTAAGTAATAAAAAATGAAAGTCTTTCACTGATTCTCTACATAACTTTTATGGACAGGATTTCTAGACACAGCCAAGGTGTTGAGGGCATTCATTTTGGTGGCCTGAGGATCAGGTCTCTTCTTTTTGCAGATGATGTGGTCCTGTTGGCTTTATCAGAATGTGATCTTCAGCTTTCGCTGGAGCGGTTGTCAGCTGAGTGTGAAGCAGCTGGGATTAGAATTAGCTCCTCTAAATCTGAGACCATGGTCTTAAGTCAGAAAAGGGTAGAATGCCTTCTCCGGGTCAGGGATGAGGTCCTGCCCAAAGTGGAGAAGTTTAAGTATCTCGGGGTCTTGTTCACAAGTGAGGGAAAGCTGGAGCGTGAGATCGATAGGTGGATCGGTGCTGTGTGATCGGTCAACTGACTCTATACTAAAGGCCATTGACTCTCTCGGAAAACGGGTTGATGACCGCATGGACGGAGTTAGTTAACAAATCAAACACCACAGCGCTATGCTAGCTTCCATTGCAAAGTCGGTGCAGTTCAATTCAGATGAGATGCAAGAAGCTAAAAAAAAGATAGTTTCTGGAAAAAGAAGTTAGTTCGCTCAAAAAAGATAATGACGAGATGAAAGATCGTGTTTTATACCAAGAAAGATACTAAAGATGGTGTCATCGCATGAAGGGTTAAAAGGAGAAAATAAATGAAAACAGAGCAGAAGTGGTGGACCTCCTGGGAAGAATTGCTCCTGACTTAAAAGATGAAAATGGAAGAAGCAGTTGACGTCGTTCACAGAGTGGGAAGAGTGGCGAAGAACTAACAGTGACAAATCATCATTCAATTTGTGAGACGCGCCGCGAGAAATGACATATGGAGGCGAACGAAATTTCTCCTGTCTGCAAGGAAGAAGGCATCTGCTTCGCAGAGGACCTGACCCCGGAGGACTGGAGATCCAGACAAGCTCTGTGGCCAAAAATCGATCAGGCTTGGAAGGAAGGCAAGGCGGCGGGCTTCAGGGGCCCTTTTGGCTTCATAGAAGGTAAACGCATCAGGGAGGGGACTCCAGGAACGGGCTTAAAATTGAACATGAAAGTGATCATTTCGGTTGACGGGACTTTCACCTCAAGACCTTCGTACTCCACCTCCTAAAAACGTTCTCTTTAAAGTGGTTAATGTGTTCAGTGTTCCAACTGAAATCTAACATTTCTTTCTTTTCATTTGACACAGGGGGACTTTAAGACTCAATTAAGAGGAAAGCTGTTTTTTGATTTCAAGGGGCAACAAGCTAACTGTTTTATCTTCAGGAAACTCATTCTGATGAATCTGATACAAAATTTTGGTCACAAACAATGGGGAGATAAAATATTTTTTAGTCATGGTACAAACAGGTCAGCTGGGGATGCTTTTTGTTTTTACAGATGTCCTGGTAAGTTTCTGTGAAATATGGTGGACAAAGATGGACAAAGATGGACACAGAGTTTCTTGTGTGTTAAAACATTGATAATGGTATGGTTATTTTGATGAACGTGTATGGTTACAATGATGATCACAAGATTAAGAACCTGTTACATCATATTTCTATAGTCTTAAAAGAACTTAATTCCATATTTAGTACTGATTATATAATAGTTGGTGATTTCTATGTGACTCCTGATGATTGGATGGATAGATGGCCCTCAAAATTTTTAAGCAAACACAAAAATCCAAATTTTGATGGTTTTGCTACTGATAACCTGATTGATATATGGAGATCATTAAACAAAGATGTCAATGTACCTGGCACGAACCTAATGGTTGACATAGATCTCGAGTTGACTATTGGTTGGTTTCAAATTCAGTTTTACAATATGTTAAGGAAACAACTATTTCAAACGGTCTCTTAAGTGACTATTAACATCCAAAATGATGATGCTATCAGTACTAGGGCTGCAACAAACGATTATTTGGATAATCGATTAATCGGATGGGGTCTCGACACGATTAATCGATTAATCGGATTACATGGGGAAATTTTTAAAAACTGCTAGGGAAACGTTATTTCTCTCCTTCCTTCACTTTATTTAACACAACATTATTAGAAAACAGTTCAATAGCAGAAAAACAACATGCCATCACCTAAATTGTCTTATAAGGTGTATAGACAGAGACCCTAAGCTACATCTATCTGTGACCTAAAATGCTTGGTCCAAGTTAAACAGCTTAAGGGCAATTCTCATCTGTTTTGTTTGATCTCATCTGTTGACATTTATTTTAAATGTAATTAAACATAGGCTGTGAATTAATCAAAATTGATCACTATTTCCAAAAATGACTGAAAAAATACCAAATAAAACAAAAGTAAATGAATGCCATCCTCCTTGCGATGATGCCCTGGGCAACTGCCATAAAGTCACATCAAGAAATGCTGCTGATCATTCCAATGATCCCAAATAGACTCACATTAGGCCACATGAAAGCAACTGAACCCAAAAATATATTAACCAGTATATAACTGCACTCTCACACAACACGCCTGCAGCAACAGTTAGGACTCCTCCCTCCCTTTTAAAAGCGTTTTTGCTTCTGAGGACATTGTGGTTGTAAAACCACATGCTAGTAGTCTGGCCCCGGTGTGATCAACCAGTTTCTGCGGGAATGTGACGGCGGAACCAGGGCCAGATTAACACTTTGTTGTACCCTGGGCAACAATATTCAAGGGCTCCATCATCACGACCCAAGGATCACCATAATGTGGTCACATACAGAATATTTTACTGTAATATGCAGTAAATATACTCAATACTTGAATGCCTGACAACACGTAACCCGCCCAGAGTAACCTTTGACCCACCTCGTGTGGACTGACCAATGAGGAGAGGGTCTTAACTTGAGGCCCTCTCTTCATTGGTCAGTCTGCATGAGACTGACTCTCAACTGACGTTCAAAGTCGTAGGCAGCGAAGCGTCTCTGTGCAGCGCAAAAGCCCGGGTGGACAGTTTGTTTAATGTAGGGTGACCATATTTCCATTTCCAAACAAGAGGACAGGGATCTGTGCCTATGACGTCACACTATGGCAACGCCACACAAACCATGTTGGGACCCATTTTTTGTAAGAACTAAATTAATATCAGATTCTGCCAATTAAAGGGCTCTAAAACAATTCATATGTAAATATTTTGCATATTTAATGCAAAATCTAATTTTTCTGCTTTAGTTCTGCAACAAGGTTTTATTAATAATAAATTATTATACCTTTTGTTTTACTACAGCATCGGTAAGCTTCCTGTGCACAGATTATTAAGGATGCTTGTTTCAGCTGTGAGATTAGACGATAGGATCAATGAAAAAATAAGTTGTCACACACTCCATGGAAACTTTCAGAGAATCCACAAATAGTGGCTTTCAAATGGTTTTGTTACTTTTTGCAAGTTTATAAAAGAAGCAGAGGAGACAGCATGTCTGATAATTTAGTTTTTCATCTGATAATATTAGAACATGTCAGTAATGTCTGAGGGGCTTTTATAAACACCGTATAACTAACACTACTGGAGAGGGTATGAATTACACAGAGGCTTCTGGGGAGCCCAGTTATTGGAGGGGGGGGGGGGGGGGGGGGTCGCATTTTGCCTTGGCCCCCAAAATGTCTTGAAACCCTGGGTGTGTGACTGAGTTTTGAAGGTGATCTGAATTGTATCAGATGTATAAATATTACATGTGTATAACTTATTGTTTTTTACTGGTAAAAACGTGTAGTGGAGATAAATCTACCTACATTTTACTTTTCAACACTTTGTTTTGTTTTCTTGTTTTTATTGAACTATTTTCCTGTCCTGTCTGTCTCTCATCTTCCTGCATCTCCTCTTAATTCTCCAGAAAATCTGTTGCCTGGATTCTTACCTTTTCACCTCATCAGTTACTTTTGAGCAGATCAAAGGGATCTCCTGACCGAAAAGCTCAGAGTGCGTTTTCGATGCTGCGTGAGGTGACATCACCACAGCACAGGTGATGAGCTCCGCAGTAGCGAGCTTCAGGCACAAATAAGACAGAAAATAGAGAACATGTGCGGACATGAACGATCGTGTGCTAATTATAGTTTTTTGGTTGCGCCACTTTGAGAATGGACCGTGCGCTGGAAGCAGCTGCCTGGATCGCTGTGCAACAATGCGGAACCGGTTCGCAGCAGCGCAAGTCTGCCGGCTTTCCCTCGCGCTGATCTGCCGGTACGGGCTCTCCCTCACGCTGATCTGCGGCTCTCCCTCGCGCTGATCTGCGGCTCTCCCTCGCGCTGATCTGCGGCTCTCCCTCGCGCTGATCTGCGGCTCTCCCTCGCGCTGATCTGCGGCTCTCCCTCGCGCTGATCTGCGGCTCTCCCTCACGCTGATCTGCGGCTCTCCCTCGCGCTGATCTGCGGCTCTCCCTCGCGCTGATCTGCGGCTCTCCCTCGCGCTGATCTGACTTGCTCTGGTCTGCGCGCAACGGCGGGCGGGAAGGGGGGGCGCTTTTGGAAGAGTTGTGCGACACAACGAATCGATGACGCCATTCGTTGCCAACGCTTTTAGTAATCGATTTTCATCGAATTTATCGATTCGTTGTTGCAGCCCTAATCAGTACAGATATCCAAATGGGAGTATATTAAAATTAGTATCAGAAAATTCTCAATTACATTTAGTAAGAAATTAAATAGACAAATGAAAGAGGAAGAAACAAATGCTGTAAAGATCTTATCAGGAGGTGTCTCTGCTGGTACAACTCTTCAGTTTGTTTATGTAAAAATATACCATGAAAATTAATTTTGCAGATACATGTTAAATATATCAGACATAAGGTGCAATCAGTCTCACAAAAACTCTTGCTTGCAGCTTTAATGTATACAATCAAAATACATTAAGTCATATTTTTTTATCACCGTGTTTCTTTTTTTGCAGGTGATGCAATTGTCCAGCAGTTAACTGAGGTCTTATCAGTTGGAGCGAACGTGAGACCTTTCTATCCTACAGACCCACAGAGTGTAGACTGGATGCATTTCTCAATGGCGTCCTGAGCCAATGCTATCAGGAGCTATTGGAGTTTAGCAAGAAAATGCTACTTCTGTCCCATGGACAAGCAACAGTGGAGAGAGGATTCTCTGTAAATAATTAGGTGGAGACCTACAATATGCAGGAAGACACAATGATTGCTCAGCGACTGGTCTGTGATTACCGTAAATCCTCTAATACAGGCCCAGGCCTGTATTTGACTCGAGCTCATCAAGCTTCAGGCCTTTATTGGAAGGAGGACCAGAATTAGATGCAGGCCTCAATTTCTATTTGAGCAAAATGAACTAATGGTTCGCTGGAGTTTTTGACAATCAAAATTGCGCCCACATTAGGGTTGTCACGGTATGAAAATTTAACCTCACGGTTATTGTGACCAAAATTATCACGGTTTTCGGTATTATCGCGGTATTTTTTAAACGGTGTTGCATATGTTCAGAAAGCATTGATAGTCCTGTTCTACACAAACTGAAATAGTTTTGAAAAGGTTTAACAGTGTTTATTAAACCTAAAATAACACAAAGCCTTAGCAAAAGTGCAACTTTTCACAAGTAAAGGAACAAATAGCTTCTTTTTCTGGAACATGTTACAGTAGTCAGTGCAGGTTTAAATTATACAAATCCAAACATTCAAAACATAAACAATATGTAAACAAATCAAAGAAACACCACTTGTTTTCTCATTACTTGTTTTCTTCATTATCAAAATGAAAATCTAAAACTCCAGTCCACACTTGACTTGAGCACTGTACAAGTCAACCTTAAAAAATATGTATTTAAAATAAATAGCCACTTTAAACAAATGACTAAAATAACTACTACACTATGTAATCAAATCCAAACGTTCAAGTATAAATGGCATCGAATAAGTAAACAAATCAATGACAAGGAACTAATTGTATATTTCTCTTCATCATCAACAAATAAGATGCTTCATCCAGCAACAGGGTGTCCGTGACACGGTTTAAATGCTGGCAGAGGACGCTGCGGCTGCAGTATATAGTGACTCGTTGCATTCTCCGTCAACCAAAAGTCCTCACGTCATGCATTTAAGCTAAAATGCTGATGTTAACTTACCTTGCACTGGCTGTAGAGACGTGGGTGATGGTCACGCAGATGTGCCATTAGATTCGAAGTGTTACCTTTTGCAGACACTTGTTTCCTGCACGTTCTGCAAACGGGATAGCCGTCTTCTATTAACTGTCCCTCAGCATTTTTCAGAAATCCCAAATATGCCCATACTTCCGATTTAGTCTTCTTTGAGGGCTGATGGATGTCCTGGGCGCTGCCGTCTCCTCCTTCGGCCATTATTTCAGCTTCAAAGTTTTGGTGCCGTTGCAAACTAAAAAGTGCGTGTGCGCGCCGCGGGAACTTCAGCTGAAGCAACGGTGGCTGGTAAGGGTCATCGCGCCGAAACCGCGGCCACGGTAAACCCACCGAGATAATATAGTTTTTTAAAAACTGGACGGTTATTTTTATTGTCAACTTTTTTACCGGGGTTTACCGCTATACCGGTTACCGTGACAACCCTAGCCCACATTTTCAAAGTTAAACACATTTCTTTTAACAACGGTAAAAGACCATTAGAAGAACCTTAAAATGGATCCTGAAACATACGGGGAGCCAATGCAATGATTCTAAAACCGGTGTCATGTGCTCCCGCCTCCTGGTCTTCATCAGGACACGTGCTGCCGAATTTTGTAGAATTTGTAAGCCTGAGATGCTCTTTTTGGGAAGACCAGAAAGCAGGGCATTGCAGTAATCTATCCTACTGGTGATAAAAGCATGCATCAACGTCTCTGTATTGGCCCGAGAGAGAATGGGGCGGACTCTGGCGATGTTCTTTAGATGATAAAAACCAATTTTTGTGATATTTTGAATGTGTGGGATAAAAGTCAGCTCAGAGTCAAAAATCACACCCAGGTTCTTCCACTGGAGCCGTCAGCAGCGCGAGTCGGCCGCGTCTCAGGAGCAGCATGTCGCGGCCTTTATGCGCCGGTTCTATTTTCTACGCGCGACGCCTCTGAAACGGGTCAAGTTCGACATTTTTGGGGAAGGAAAGACAAGAAATCGGACGCGGAAATGGAGAAGCTCCCGAGATTTTCAGAATAAAGAACGTACTGCCTTCCGGTTGCTTTACTTTAAAAAACGTTACTAACTGTGCGTCCCCGTGAGAAGTTATCACCTAGCTAGCGGTCTCCTTTGTTTTTCAGGTCCGTATTGGCGATTATAAAACGAACAGAACATAAAACACAAACCATGTTGTAGTTCTCTCCTGTTTGTTGTTGTGTTTACTGACGAAGTCGCTCGGTTGGTGACAGCTGCTCCCCTGCTGCTTCGCGTCTCGTGGGAAGGGCCAAGCAGCAGTTTACGCGAGCAAGACGTGCTGCTGCAGTAACGTGCTGCTGACGGCTCCTGTGGAAACCCGGGGTAAGAGTCATGCCCCGTCCCCCTCCCCAACCCTACCGTGTCCGCTGACACAAACGGGGCAACGAAACTAGAGCCCTCCATCAGCTGATACTGTTGAGAAACAGCAGGTTTTGCTGATTTTTGTAGCCAAGGCGCTAGAATGTCAGCTGTGGTGCCGCGCCACGCATGAGCCTATATATGGTAAACACTGAATCTCTACACAGACCAACTGACCTGCTGTAAAAGGTGTGTGTGTGTGTGCGAGAGAGAGAGAGACTTACGACTCCAGCTCAACAGGACTGTCTTTCTAAACATCACCTGTGTGACACTTTCTACATTGTTAGTGTTTGTATGAGCCTGTAGCTGATGTCCCACCTCTGCCTCTGAAGCCACTCCTTTCATTGTTCCAGCTTCCTTCATCTGTAGACAAGATGAGGAGGTATACGTTTAATCAGCACCTCCTAAAGACCCCCTGCTGTTCAGATAAGTTCTCCATCTCAAATCCTCAAAGGCTTTAACTTGTTTACAGACCAACATTTTTCTGATTGTTAAACCTTGTTTGGGTCATTTTACACCTTATTAATATTTTTAACATCCATTATAAGTAATCTTTTGTAATCATAAATTAGAGTTGACTAAAGCAGGAGGAACAGTAAACCAGCATTTATTAACACACCTGAGTTTTCAGATCCTCTTCCTTGCTCTCTTCCACCACGACCTACGAGAACAGAACACAAAATGATTCTTCTGCAGCATCTAAAGCAAATCACCACTCCTTAAAACCTTACCTCTTCCAAACTCTCTGCGGTCATCTTTCCACGAGCTCCTCTCTGCACCTGCTGATTTCAGTTTTTAACTTAAACACCTTTTACATTTAGTCAAAATTATTTGAACCAATTTCTTCAAGTTAGAGCTCCCAAACACCAAGAGGCAACAGCTGAGGCGGTTTGTGATTTTATCATGATCATCAGACCACTAATATTCAGTAATTATTGGGTTATTGTCTAATTTAGAGCCGAATATTTGAGAACAGCTGCTGAACACTTTCATAAAATATGTTTAATTCTTACCACCGTTAGAAGTGAAGCCTGTAAAAGTAGTTGTAGTTGTTGTAGTTTCCTGAAAAAAATATATATATTTGAATAAATTAAGATGTCCAAGAAACCTGTAAAAGAAAACACCTCACCTGTTCTTCCCACTCGTCGTCCATGTTTCCTTTAAGCCTGAAAGATTAATTAATAATCATGAATTGAACTTGGGTCTCAGCCACACTGAATGTTTCCATTTGTAAAGTTTTTTTTAACCCTTAAAATTATTTTAACTGTTAGAATAAACATTTTTAACCAACAATAATGTGAGCCTTTAGACGGTGACTTAATTTAAGGTCTCATAAGTTTTACTTCTACACCAGTTCTGTTGGTTTCTACCAGTGAGAACCCTGAAAATCCACCATTTTGTGCCATGTGCTCAAGTAGCACAGACTTTTTGGTGGCTAGTCGATTTTCGGATGGTAGAAGTCCATTCGCGGGGGTCTCGTAAGTTCTCGCGTTAACGAGCGTTGACAGGATTTTGGGAAGCACTTTGCCGCCACCAGGGTTCGCGTCTCCGCCATTAAGGTCGGACAGGCAAAAGCCTCCAGTCAAAAAAAAAAAAAAGAAAAAAAGAAGCCTCCAGTCACCATTACCAACCCATTAATGAAAATGAGCGTAAAAGTACGGATATAAAACACTAAACAAATGTATAAGTAACTTTTAAAATTCAAATCCAGAAGAATTAATGTAATTAATTAGAAACGCTGCTAGCTTAGCGACCTAATGTACAATCCTTTCCGAGTCCTGGTCAGGTGGCCTCGGTTTAACAGCAACACCGAAAATCGAATAAAGTCGAATCTTGAGGGAAAACAGAACGTTGCAAAGTTCTATACAAATAATATATCAAATGTTTTAGCGACAAACGCTTCAAATGGAAAACTAAATATTTCGATCTTTTAAATTCGCTAACACTTAATTGACAAACATGCCAAATAAAATTACGCTAAAATTAATAATTGACTCTCAGAGAATCTCCACGAACTTAAATAAAAACTCCATTACCGTGAGATACAGAAGGAACTTTCGGCGCTATCCCTTCACGTGCTCGGTCCACAGCGTTCTGTTCGCAAGAGTGCAGGGCAGTCCTGGTCAGATGCGGGGTTGCCAGTTCCACTGTCATCCTCCTTCACTGATCTGCAAATAATAATAATAAACTTATGTTTAAGAGTGACTTTAGAAAAACACTGCTTCTTATCTATTACGTATTGATCTCATGAAAATGATTTAAAACGTGAATTATGTTTACTAAACTATGGTTCGAGGGTTGGTATGTGAGTGTCAGAGCTTCAGAACATGGCAACACTTTTTTCCTTCGAATCATCGGTTTTTTGTGTTTTTTTGTTTTTGTTTTTTTTTTACCAAATGTAAACCTGATTTTTAGAAAAAAAACTTAACATTTTAAATAAATAATTATGAAGAACGAATATTAATATATTCGATTATATTTGATATTATATTTTCAGTGACAAAAAATAATGTGTGGGTCGTTTAGATTTAGTCCGACACTGGCCTCCAGCGGACAAATGACAAATTAACTCAGAAACAGTCAGAAATCTGAAGATGTATTATCACCTATCCTACTAAATAGAGAAGGAAATCTATGTTAACTTTAAAATGTACTTAATTATGTCTAATCATTAGTCAACAATGTAGAGAAAGGATGGGACAGAACAAGATTAGGCTTCTACCTGTACTCATTTTCATGCTGGTCTGTTTCTGTCAGTTCTGTCTTCTTGGGATCCAGCGATTATCTATCTATCTATATCTATATCTATCCATCTATCCATCTATCTATCTATCTATCCATCTATCCATCTATCCATCTATCCATCTATCCATCTATCTATCTATCTTACACTAAAACGTAAGCAACAGTTGAAACTGCAAATAAATTAACAGAACTACAAAAACAAACCAAGAAATGTAAAAGAAGGTTTGGCTAGGCTGCAAAGCATTAAAGGTAAATACCAAATAAATATAAAACAAAGCAAACGTGTTAATAAAGACCACCTGAAGGAGCCTTATATAAATATTGTGGGTACCAGACAGCAACTCGCTGAACAGACACAGTTTACATCCTGCTGTGGGAGAGCAAACAGCTCAACTAGAAGGGATTTGAGACATCGTGACGTTTTCATGTAATAGGATTGGATCTTTCTACACAAATGTCCTCAAACGATACAGCTGTAATTTCTATAAGTTCCTTTATTTATCAGGCTTTTATTTCTAGTTTCCTCTCTGTCATAACAATGTATTTTTACATCTAAAACATGTTTGTTGACATGTTTGTTTACATGTTTGTTGACAACAATAGTTTTTTTTTTTGCTGGATTTGGAGCATGCACAATGCAGTAAATCAGTTTTTGTCCTACCTGTGTCTCAATGCTGTGGAAACACCATGAATTTATTGCACAAAATGGGTAGAAATGAGCAGGTTTATGCTAGTTCTGGCTGAAGTTGCAAACAGCTGCAGGTTGACCATGACTAACCAGTGGGGGTTATACTGGTGTGAGCTTCGGAGAACAGTTCCTTGAACAGTGGCGTGTCCAGATCTTTTAAAATGGGGTGGCCCGGGTGAGGCACAACTTTGTGCATGAGTGGCACCAATGGTTTTGCTTTTTTTGTTTTATCCCCAAGCCTTTTGTGGACAATGAACATTCACTGAACATTCTGAATTCTGCTGAACATTCACTACCACAAACTCCTTCAAGCCCAACCATCTCAGGCCCTATGCTTCATTTCCCTCTTTTTCCCCTGTCACTGAGAACTGTGTGTCCAAGCTTCTCACATGCAGCTGCCCTACTACATGCCCACTTGACCCCATTCCGACTAAGCTGCTCCAAGCTATTGCTTCTACAGTAGCCACAGAAGTCACACATATGATCAACGCATCACTGACATCCGGTACATTTCCCACCCCTCTCAAGCATGCTCAGGTTAAACCGCTGCTGAAAAAAAACCCATCACTTCCTCCAAATCATGTGGAGAACTACCGACCTATCTTTCTCCTCCATTTTCTGTCCAAAATCATTGAAAGGGTGGCTTTCAAGCAGATCACAGAATACCTCTCACAAAACTGTCTGCTTGACCCTTAACAATCTGGGTTCAAAAAGGGCCACTCCACTGAAACTGCTCTGTTAGCAGTGACTGAATCCTTAAAAGAAGCTCGAGCGACAGGCAAATCCTCAGTGCTAATCCTGCTCGACTTATCGGCAACATTTGACACTGTCAACCTTGGCTTCCTTTTGTCCACACTCTCTACCATGGGCCTCACAGAGAAAGCACACGCCTTGTTTGAATCGTACCTCATAGGACGATCATTCAGTGTATCTTGGCTTGGACAATCCTCTACCGTGCACCATCTTGCCACAGGAGTTCCCCATGGCTCAGTACTAGGACCTCTTCTCTTTGCCATATACACCACCTCACTGGGTGAGATCATTCGATCACATGGCTTCTCCTACCACTGCTATGCAGACGACACCCAGCTCTATCTGTCATTTCCACTGGACGACCACACTGTCTCTGCACGAATATTAAACTGTCTCTCTGACATATCAAAATGGATGAAATCCCACCATCTCCAACTCAACCTCTCTAAAACTGATCTACTTGTCATCCCAGCAAAACCATCCATACAGCACAATATCTCAGTCCAAAATGACTTCCTATCTCTGGTTCCTTCAAAGGCAGTTCGAAATCTGGCTGTTGTGATTGATGAAAACCTGACCTTTAAAGATCATGTTGCCTCTGTTGCTCGTTCATGCCGCTTAGCGCTGTATAACATACGAAAGATCAGACCATACCTAACACAACATGCCACCCAGCTCCTGGTGCAATCTACTGTCATCTCCCGCCTTGATTACAGCAATGCCCTTCTAACTGGTCTTCCAGGCTGTACTGTGAGACCTCTTCAAATGGTCCAGAACGCAGCGGCGCGTCTGGTCTTCAATCAGCCAAAAAGAGCACACGTCACCCCTCTGTTCATTGAGCTCCACTGGCTACCGCTAGCAGCACGCATCAAATTCAAATTGCTAACACTAGCATACAAAGTCCGAGATGGTACGGCTCCCATCTACCTGAATCCTCTTGCAAAGGCTTACGTCTCGGCCCGGCCGCTCCGGTCATCACAGGATCGTCGGCTAGCAGTGCTCAGGACAATCCAGACTTTTCTCATGCATTGTTCCACAAATGTGGAATGACCTTCCAAGCACTACCAGAACTGCAGCTTCCTTTTCAATTTTCAAGAAACTCTTAAGAGCATCTTCTTAACTAGCACCCTCCCTGCACCCGTCCCCCCTCTCTACTGTCCACTCCTTGTTCCCTACTCACCATGACTGATGTCAACGTTGTTGTTGTTATTGTTAGCCTCAAGGGCAATATGCCGATTATCACTTGTAAGTCGCTTTGGACAAAAGCGTCTGCTAAATACATAAACGTAAACATAAACAATGAAAAGCCTGTTTAAAGGTAAATTAGTGTGTTGGCACCTGGGGTGGCCAATTAGATTCCAAGGGTGGCATGTGCTACCCCAGGCCACTCCCTGGACATGCCCCTGTCCCTGAAGGCTTCAGTTACTGGGAGGATAATGAGTGAGTGGATGTGGTTGTTCTCTATAATCAGACAGAAGTGGTGGGCTCCTCTGAGCAGCTGGCAGCAGTCTGAAAATAAAACCTAATGAATGTCTACGGGAAACGACAACAGAGAGCTCTCAGGAAGTTGTTTCCTCAGATCTGGATGTTGTTAGCCTGGAAAGCCAGACTTTATATGTGAATATATGTAAGACCAAATTTTGCAAGAATTTGGTCTAGTTCACTAGGCTAGGATGCTGTTACATCGTTGTGATTTTACACTTTATTGTTTAGACGTCCATCCACTGCTCAGATGCCTCTATATTTTGACACAGTTTAAAAGAACAAATACCCGAAAAAACTCTACAAGACATAAAAGTCTAGGATGTTTCCCCTTGATTCCTACCAAGCCCGTGTTGTGAACAGAGTACTCTGGACAGATCAGGTGCACAAGATGTGAATTACTGTAATGAGCTTTTCAGTTTGGGTTGTTATTTTTTTTCTGCATTCACTCTAATGAGGGTTATTTTTTGGTAAAAATACTAATAATTAATATTTAATGGTAACCAAATGCCCAGGCGTGGATGATGTCTCTACAATTAATCAATGTAGCATCTAAATGTGTTCTGTAGTGAATTAATCTTTACTTGCTGTGTTTATGTGCTTATGACATTCTCAGTATTACTAATTTGAGGTGACAGTTTTATTTTGACAGAAAATTTGGGGTTTTGTGAATTTGGTCATGGTTTTTGGATTTGTGTTGAAGGTTTTGAGAACATTGGTAGAGGTTTCAAGAAACTTGTTTGAGCATTTTTGAAAAACTGTAGTTAAATTTTGATGGGAGCTCTAGCTAGGGATTGACCAATATTGTTGTTTCTAATGGTGATATTGATATGTACTACCAATTTTCATGACCGATATCTGGACATTTTCCACCTTATTTTCATGCTATAATGTCACTAATAACATTGGTTGATGCACACAATTTCTGAAGCTGAATCAGTTTTTGAGCTCTGAGTTTAACTAAATCTTAACTTTGTGCACGTCTCAGTGGTAAAGTCAGACACCTAAATGAAGTCCGTTTAGAGTATTTATTAAGCAGTTGTTATTAGTGAACATAAAAATAATTTAATTAAACTCTGCAACAGTACCGGGCTGCTGCAGGAGGTGCCTGACTTTAAATCAGCTTTACTAAGCACAAATATCGGCCGATGCATAAAAAACGTAAATATCAGCTGACAGATGCATACCTACCTCTAGCTCCAGAAGCACTGGTTTAATATTTGTTGTTTTTATTGTTCAGCAATTTAGTCGCCACTATAACGTGTTCTATAAATAAAAATGGATTGGAATGCAGGTCCACACCATGATAGTGCCTCCACTGTGTTTTACAGATGAATGCATTGTAAGCCAGTAATACTCGTACAGCAAAAGTACTATTTTTATTTGTTTTTGCTTGTTTGTTTTATTAATAATGGTGGTTTAAGTTTACTTTTAATTTGAAATGGTAATTTACAGAGTTTGATGACTTATTAAAAACTATGGGTAAAGATGCCGGAAGCTCGTTTTGGTGCCATCCCGCCCTCGGAAGGTCAGAGTCCGGTTCCTGCTGCTGTGATCCAGGCCAGCAGGTCTTGAAGCTAGAGCCCAGAGCATTATGGGATGTTGGCTGATGGTGAAACCAACATGGCTGTGAATCTCAGGCAGAGGAGAGAACCTGCAGCAGGAACAAGACCGTGAATGAAGTCCAGCATATAGACGGAGCTCCCAGCGTCTACCAAGCTGTCTCGAACCGTCGCGCTGCTGAACGTTGACGCTGCCTGACGAGGGCTGAAACATTCACCAACAGCAGCAGATAACAAACCACTGCGGATAAAGTCTCGTATGAATTCCGACGAGAAGGAGGACTGTGAGTGTGCGACACCACAGGCCGAGACGAGCCCCGCCAGAGGACCAGATAGGTGGGGACACCGACAGGAAACAGCCGGGGATGCCGGGAGGGAAGCTAGCCAGCTAGCTAGCTGTTGCTACTAGCTTGCGTGAACGCCGCTGTTTTTAGGCTAAGTTGCGAGTTAGCATTAGCTGGTTAGTAAGATAACGAACGCGCTGCTCCGTGTGTGCCTGTTAAACAGAAAGCTAACCAGTGTTTGTTACACTAGCTTGTTGGGTCAAAACGTCCGTGACATTTCCGTGCCTGGCTAACCGAGGCTACCTTCAATGAATGGGTAGCAAATTATTTTAAAACACCAGGTCACTAAACCTGCCTCCGCTTCCAGCTGGAAGATGCTGTAAACATGCTGTGAACACCGTAGAGCTGCTTCCAGTCTGCTTTATACAACCCTATATTCGTTGTTGTTGCGGGTTTATTCCATCTAATGAAGCTAGGGTGCAGAAACGGACTACTGCTGTGGCTCTTCTCACCCTTGTTCTGTTCTGCTGTTTTAGAGAATACGAGGACCCTGACGCAGAAAACCCAGAAGCAAGCCGAATGTAAGTCAAGCATCAGTTTTCATCTTTATTTATGCTACTCAGCACAAACGTGTGGGACCTCAACTCAGACCACAGCCTCCGTCTGCACCCTCCCATCCTACTGGGAATATTCCAGCAGGTGCTGGTGCAGTGCTGCTGGTCTCATTCATGTTATAAGAAGATGTCTCAACTATGTCTCTTTTTGCCTTGTTTATTCTCATTTTATTCACGATTTGGTTGCTAACCTCTCCCCAAAAGCCAGCTCATGTTTCTCATGCTTTATGGCTCGAAGCCAAACTAAGAGGGATTCCAGACATGCAGGGTATCTACCGGATTATTTCGAGAGAAGATAAAAAAACCTTTTAAACTTACTCTGCTACACAAAATGCGTGACTTAAGACGCACTTGAGAAAAGAGACGTGAGCGTTTCAGGATGTTTCTGTATCTTCCTCGGAGTTAGTTGCCAACAGCTGCAGCCAAGTCAGATACCGGCTTTAGGTAACACTTGGTGTGTTTACGTGGACTTGTGAGCCAAGCTACGTTAATAGTTCAGGTAAAACTGGGTGTCTTTGTTCTACTTTACATGTCTGTTAGAAAACCGAATTATTGAACAAAGTTCATTCCCCTCCACTACAGTAGGTGGCGACGTGTGCCGTTTCATGTTTTATTCTGCCGGTTAGCCTATAGCAATACAAATGGCTGACAAACGCTGGCGGGAGTGAAGCAGACGAAGTAAGAACAGGATATGCACAGTGGCCGAAGCAGCAGACAACAACAACACGTAGCACAGCTTATTTAGTACCTACTGGACTGTTTGATGGAGTTGCACGTTTTTAAATCAGATTTTTGTAATGCTGGTGTGCACAGTCTTTGTTTAGGTCAGTAAATAAGTGATAGTTAAAGGCCTGTCATATCACCCGCCACCTGACATCGATCAATGAGCTGCAGTAGCCAACTTGAATCTGATTTTATCCAGAAGACCGGTTGTAGAAAAACACCCAGCGATGACCTCAGTTTCATTGAAATCCATAAATTTCGTTTAGCCAACGAACACGCCAATCCGTGGCTCGTCATTTCCTGACACAGCTGATCTTACCAATGTCTTTAAGGTTTTACTAACCAGTTTACTTCTGGAACTGTAGATACTCTCTGATGCTCGGGTGACGTGTGAATGTCTGCTGAAAGGTGAAGTTTTACACAGAAACACAAAAAAAGAAAAAAAAAACCCTCAAAAATAGTGAAAATTCACCTTGGAAAGTCTTGAACCTGATTTGCCCGCCAGCCCTGCGTTGCATCGACGTAGCGTTATAAAGTGGCGTATGTTCTCTGAACACAGGAAGCGTGCAGCTGCCAAACATCTAATAGAGCGCTACTACCACCAGTTAACGGAGGGCTGTGGGAATGAGTCCTGCTCCAACTCATGGTGTGCCTCGTCAGTGGGATTCAGCCGCATGGACAACAACGCGGCGGCGGTTAAAGCTCTAGAGCTCTATAAGGTCAACGCCAAACTATGTGACCCACATCCTTCAAAAAAAGGCACCGCGTCCGCCTACCTGGAGAGCAGCAACAGCAAGATGAACCACAAAGACGTCCACACTGTTAGAGATAACTTTAAAGGTGAGTTCACTCAAAGGTCAACGGTTTCTTAGTTTTTCCTGTTTTCACTGCGAGATGTTTGTTTTTCTGTAGAAGTAAACTACCTGACAGAGGAGAAGGTGTATGAGATCTTGGACATCTGTGGAGAGAAGGACGATTACTCCCCTCTGATCCGGGTAATAGGTCGGGTTTTCTCCAGCGCCGAGGGTCTGGTGCAGAGCTTTCGGAGGTCCAAACCTCACACCAAGGAGGAGCTGAAGTCTCTCCAAGGGAAGGACGAGGACAAAGATGAGGATGAGAAGGAGGCGGCGGCGTGCTCTGTGACAGCCATGGACGAGGACTCCCCCACTTCTTCGTCGTCGAGGCTCGGGGAGGGATCCTCGGGTGAGAACGATGTCCAGAAGCTGGCCCCAGACGAAGTTTCTGTGGACATCGAAGCTGTGCGGCGGGTCTACGAGCGCCTGCTGTCTAACGAGAAGATCGAGGCAGCCTTCTTGAATGCACTCGTCTATCTCTCACCTAACGTAGAGTGCGACCTGACGTACCACAACGTGTACTCAAGAGACCCCAACTACCTGAACCTCTTTGTTATAGTGATGGAGAACAACAACCTCCACAGCCCAGAGTACCTGGAGATCGCTCTGCCTCAGTTCTGCAAGGCCATGAGCAAGCTCCCGTTGGCGGCTCAGGCCAAGCTGGCACGCCTGTGGTCTCACTACAGCGCCGAGCAGATCCGACGCATGATGGAGACCTTCCAGCAGCTCATCACGTTCAAGGTGATCAGTAACGAGTTCAACAGCAGGAACCTGGTCAACGACGACGACGCCGTCGTGGCGGCCACCAAGTGCTTGAAGATAGTTTACTATGCAAATGTTCTAGGAGGCGACCTGGACACCAAGAACAACGAAGAGGACGACGACGAGCCGATTCCAGAGTCCAGTGAGCTCACTCTCCAGGAACTGCTGGGTGAGGAGCGCCGGAACAAAAAAGGGCCCCGAGTGGACCCGCTGGAGACGGAGCTGGGAGTCCGCACCAACGACTGCCGACGGCCGCTCATTCCCTTTGAGGAGTTCATCAACGAGCCCCTGAACGAGGTGCTGGAAATGGACAAGGACTACACGTTCTTCAAGGTGGAGACAGAAAACAAGTTCTCCTTCATGACCTGCCCCTTCATCCTAAACGCCGTCACCAAGAACCTGGGGCTGTACTACGACAACCGCATCCGGATGTACAGCGAACGGCGCATCACAGTGCTCTACAGCCTGGTCCAGGGTCAGCAGCTCAACCCATACCTGAGGCTGAAGGTCCGGAGAGACCACATCATCGACGACGCTCTGGTCAGGGTACGTAGGACATGTTCACAGCCTCGTGGTCCTGTTTGGTTCTTCAGGTTTCTGAGCTGGTCTGACTTCTTTTGTTCTTGCAGCTGGAGATGATCGCCATGGAGAACCCTGCAGACCTGAAGAAGCAGCTGTACGTGGAGTTTGAAGGAGAGCAAGGCGTGGATGAAGGTGGTGTTTCCAAAGAGTTCTTTCAGCTGGTGGTGGAGGAGATCTTCAACCCTGACATTGGTAAGGACACACACCTGTTCTTAGCTGAAGCTCATCAGGCTGGGAAAAGATCTCAGTGGGAGGGGCTAGTGGGCTTGTCCCACTGCATTGTGGGACCTGTAGTTTATGTGTGTGTGAAGAACATCACAGGTCCTGCTGAGATGAGGGTATTTTAAAGCACTTTTCTCAGACTTACAAAGGTGCAGGTCATTTATCAGCAACGACCCTGACTGTTCTAGAACAGCACTCGTCACACATCTGGTCATCAGAAGTGGGCTTCAGGTAGAGAAACACCTGCTGTAGTCCTCCCTCTGATCGCCATGCCTGCATCTCTCAGGTATGTTCACGTACGACGAGCGGACGCGACTGTTTTGGTTCAACTCGTCGTCGTTTGAGAACGAAGGCCAGTACACTCTGATCGGCATCGTTCTGGGCCTGGCCATCTACAACAACTGCATCCTGGACGTGCACTTCCCCATGGTGGTCTACAGGAAGCTGATGGGCAAGAAAGGAACGTTTAGGGATCTGGCCGACGCTAACCCCGTAGGTATCGCCACGGCTGATGTTCTTGGAGCAGCAGGATGTAGTCTAATCCTCGGTTGTGTCTGAAGGTTTTGTGCCAGAGTCTGAAGGAGCTGCTGGAGTATGAGGGCAGCGTGGAGGATGACATGATGATCACCTTTCAGATATCCCAGACAGACCTGTTTGGAAATCCCCTGAGTTACGATTTAAGGGAAAACGGGGACAAGATTCCCGTCACGAATGAGAACAGAAAGGTAAGGCTGTGGCCCAGCTGGTTCCACTCTTCATAGGTCTGTAGCAGAACTCCGCTGTCCCTCTCCATCTGAGAGCCTGCAACTGTCCTCAGTTTAAAATATTTATAATGTTACCATCCGAGGCTGGGGAGGAAAAACGCTTATTATTAGAGCTGGACAGCATTAGGCCCTGCTATGATGATGATGATGATGGAGGAAAATGAGCTCAGCGTGTTCACCTAGCCTTTCCACTGGATGCGTTAGCAGCGCGTGAAGTAATAGTGTTTTAGCCACTTGTTCCCTTCCCACCGAGAGGGTTTCAACTGTAAAATGGCAGCAAAAGCGTCACAGCTGGTCCCGTGAGGTCACAGAATCATTGGATAACTGCAACACCACGCCTGATCTCAGCAGTTCGTGTGATAACAAGCAAAGAGAAAGATTGCAGCATGTATCCCTAAAGGTCTGGTTTATTCTCTGTTCTGTTTTCCTACGCTACAGAGGTTTCACAGGAAATTGCGTACTTTTGTTACTAGTTAAGCAGCTAGAAATCTGCATGTGAGTTTTATTTTGAAAGTTTCTGAATGTCTTACACTGTTTTCATGTCTGGCTCGATCAGAAATGAGGAGCCTGACACATTCCTGAAGCATAAACCATAAAAAATAAGCTTGAAGCATTATCAACGGGTACCGATGCAACAATGCAAACGCAACCATCCACTAAACAACGGCAAATTTCTGTGTACTACATTACACAGACGTTACGTGATGCTTACACCGGTGAAAGGACCCGGTGTCGAGTACCATGACACTCAGTGATCCACGATCACACAATTACCATTAAACAGTTTGCAAAAGCAAGCCTTGAGTGGTTGGATTGTGTGATAAAAGCCTCACTGCGTCACACTTGTGAGGATAGAGGCTGGCACACTTGATCTTTGGGTTAATGGGTTGCAGCCTTTTGCTCAGCACAGAGAAACCCCTCACCCGTTAGATCAGGTAAGATGTTGGTCAAACGTTAACATGTCAGGGTCGGTGCTGGACAGGTTTAAAGCTAATATGAAGATGCTAACGGAGGTTACGATCAAAACTTTGAGATTAATCTGAAGAAAATTTCAACGGCTTTCCGCAGACCTGTTGTGGACCAGCTGTTTTATTGGAGGACATTAATTGGACCCATGAGGGTACAAAGACATTTGTGGTAGAGATGATTCTGTTCTGCTAATAATGAGGCTCGAAACAGTGAGTTGGGAACTATTTAGATTTCCGAGTCCTTTACAAAAGCGTGTGTTTTGTTGTTCGTGCTACATGAACTGATTTAACCCAGAAGAACATGATGGACCGCCAAAGAGTTCTCTGTGATCAGATGCAGCAGAACTCGATACGTCAATATCGCAGGGTTAGAAATAAATCACAGAACAGGTTTTTTTTTGCCTTCGTGTTGCCCTAATATTCAGATAGACTTTGATTTGGTGTGTGTGTGTGTGTGTGTGTGCGCGCGTGTGTGTGTTCACAGGAGTTTGTTGCACAGTATTCAGAGTATGTTTTAAACAAAAGTGCGGAGAAACAGTTCAAAGCGTTCAGGAGAGGCTTCCACATGGTCACCAACGAGTCGCCACTCAAGTACCTGTTCAGACCCGAGGAGATCGAGCTGCTGATCTGTGGGAGCAGGGTGAGACCCGGACCTCTCAGGTCACCACTTGTCCTTGTTGACTTGTGGACTCTAAAGTCCAGATCTGGCTCTCTTCCAGAACCTGGACTTTTATGCACTTGAGGAGACGACGGAGTACGACGGCGGTTATAACAAAGATTCTAGAATCATCAAGTAAGAATGGGAATGTTCCTGAACAGCTGGCACATGTATGTAGGGAGTGGGCTTGTGACGATTAACCTTTGACCCCACAGGGAGTTCTGGGAGACGTTGCACTCATTCAGTGAGGAGCAGAAGCGCCTCTTCCTGCAGTTCACCACCGGCACCGACAGAGCGCCTGTGGGCGGCCTCGGCAAGCTGAAGATGATCATCGCCAAGAACGGTCCTGACACAGACAGGTGAGCTGAAAACTCCACAAGTTGGATGAGAACATTTTAAAAGTACGACAGTTTTTGGTCAAGTCCAGGGGCCTCGTTTATAAAACTTTGTGTAGATTCACTACTGATGTTCTCCTTAGTAGCGATAAAATATTAATGATAATAATAATAATAATAATAATAATGAAGCCAGTTGTCGGGGTCTCCAAAGTGTTTTACACTACACACTGATGGTGACCACTAGGGCTGCAGCTATTGAATATTTTGGTATTCTAATGGTATGCTGCTAAAAATATGAAAATAGAATAACACATTTGTAGGGATGTAAAAAAAATATCGATATGGCAATATACCGTGATATTTTTTCCAGAAATATTGTATCGATATTCAAAAGCCGTGTATCGGAAATATCGATATGGTAATATATCGTGATATTTTTTCCTGCGATTATTACATCGATATTCAAAAGCCGTGTACCTAATTCTTGAAAGAATTTACATGCAAACATTTGTGTATTTTCATTTCATTTTGTGCAATTCAGTCGCCACCCGCTAGTTGGCAGCAGTGTGCAACGGGTTTTGTTTCCACCATTGAAATGTAAATCCCTCCATCATAGTTCAGATACCTCATGTTAAACACGTTACGTATCACTTTGGACTGTTTATTGAACATTCTTACAATAAATTCAGTAAAAAAAATAGCTTGTAACGTCTGACTGAATGTATTGTGATATATCGTATCATCTCCCCTGTATCGTACAGCTCAGTAATATGTATTAAATAGGTGCTGTCTAGTTCCCTCTTTCCCATCTGATGTTAACCCTTTAAGCACCAAAGTCGCAATATTGCGACAAGCGTCATTACTGACTTTAACGAGCCACAGCTACAAAAATGATCCCTCATGAAGTTACTACTTTACGCCAGAAGATAGTGGAGATGTGTAACTTCAGCCTAAGAAACACTTAGGGTGTGTTTATATTGAAAATTTCGTAGTTTTTAGAGTTTGAAAACCGCCTCCCGCCGAGATGTTCCCGGTCGGGGAGAAGACGAGCGCAGCACGAAGAGGGCGAATATTAGAGGGATAAAACTTAAAGTTGTTTGACTCTCTGAAGAAGAAATTCACTCATCCAGCCGAAAAAATTGATGCTGCTGCAGTGCGCAGCATCAGACAGCTGGTGCTGCACGAGTAAGGTGTGTGTAGCTTACACACTCCAAACATTGGGTTTGAAGTGTGTTTCACCGTTTCTGGGGCATGGTGGATGTAGAAATAATGGTAAAAACACAGTTAATGTGACAGACGTAGCGGCAATGTAAAAAAAAGCTGTAAAAATCAGCAGATGTGTTATGTATGGAAGTCAAAGTGTGCCACATAATCATAAAAATATTCTTTCCCTTGGATCAAATGATTGTTATATTCAAGGGAAGGGCATTCCTGAAGCTGTACAAGCCTAAATACACCTGTCAAATATGGCTTAAAAAGTCTTTTTCTGGAGTGAGACCAAAATAAATATCAAAAACTACAATAAATAAGGTAAACAATGTAAATAAATATTCTAAAGAGCTTTATATTTGTACATATCAAATAAAAATGTCAAAATATAGTAAACATACCAAAATAACATGTAAAAAAAAGAAGGGACACCATTACTTCATCCATTTCAGCACGACTACAAGGGAGGTCCACTGCTTCCTCCCCAATGGTCTCATTCCGCCGCAATCTCCGCAATCTGGCACCCAACTACTTCTCCTCTCTTGTTGCCTCCACTCTTCCATCTCCCAGCACATTCTCTGCTTATGAAGTGAATGAAGCCACCGAGTCACTCTGCTCCACACTCTGCTCTTGTCTTAATAACTTGTGCCCTTTAGCCACTAGACCTGCTAGATCCTCTCAGTCGCACCCTTGGCTAAATGATACCCTCCGGTCTCTACGCACCAATCTTAGAGCTGCGGAACGGAAATGGCGCAAAACAAAAGATCCTGGTGATCTATTGGAATTTCAGGAATTACTGTCCTAATTCTCTGCCAGCATCACTGATGCAAAGAAAGCTTTCTACACTGACAAAATTCTCAGCTCTACTGACTCTCAGAAACATTCACAGAATTCAACATTCAAATCTCTGCTCAGCCCTCCATCTCCACCTCCTACCAACAATCTATCAGCTGACACCTTTGCCTCATTCTTCACTGACAAAGTGGCAGCTATAAGCTCCTCTTCTCTTTGCCATATACACCACCTCACTGGGTGAGATCATTCGATCACATGGCTTCTCCTACCACTGCTATGCAGACGACACCCAGCTCTATCTGTCATTTCCACTGGACGACCACACTGTCTCTGCACGAATATCAAACTGTCTCTCTGACATATCAAAATGGATGAAATCCCACCATCTCCAACTCAACCTCTCTAAAACTGAACTACTTGTCATCCCAGCAAAACCATCCATACAGCACAATATCTCAATCCAAAATGACTTCCTATCTCTGGCTCCTTCAAAGGCAGTTCGAAATCTGGGTGTTGTGATTGATGAACACCTGACCTTTAAAGATCACCTTTCTCAGTGGCCTAGTGGTAGAGTGTCCGCCCTGAGTCTGGGAGATCAGGGGTTCGATTCCTGGTCGGGTCATACCAAAGACTTTGAAAAAATGGGACCCAATGCCTCCCTGCTTGACACTCAGCATTAAGGGGTTGGATTGGGGGGTTAAACCCCACACCACTGCTGACATCCACAAATTGTTGGTGGGGATTTTTCTTCCTCTTTTAGAGTTTAGTCATTCACAACCGTCGTGTTTTTTCTGAACCCCACTTAATCGTGAGAGTGCTACACGCTAGCTTAGCATTAGCCAGTCTGCCCGTGGTTAAACTCTGGATCTTAAACTTTGGAGCATTTCTGCCTTTGCGGTCTGTTTGCTTGGTGTTATGGTTCTGAACGACTCATTAAAGGAAGTAAAATGCTACGATGGACTCTTTATTCACTACACACACACACACACACACACACACACACACACACACACACACACACACACACACACACACACACACACACACACACACACACACACACACACACACACACACACACACACACACACACACACACACACACACACACTTCACTGTCATATTGAATTGTTGGTAATTGAAAAGGTAGCTTAAGATAGTTTTAGAGCAGACTGCTTCTAATTCACCATTAGCATTGTTAGCGCATTGTTAGCCTCTAGCCTGCTTCTCCTGAAATTTGAGTAAAACAAAAAGATGCTGTGGCTTCTTAGGGGTACAAGAAATGACTTCTGGGTTGCTCCTGTTTACAGGCTACTGTCCTTTAAACAACTTTTTGCCTGTTGGTTTTGAATTACAAATGCCTGAGCTGCTGAGTTAGCTCACTGCAGATTCGGCAACCTCACAAACTCTGAGTGTAAACGGTGACTACGTCCCACTTTTCTTCTTTTCAAAAAGAGAAACATTGACAGACTCTAAGCTGTGTGAGAAGGACATCGGTTCCAGTTTCACCTTTCTTCCAACCTGACAGACATTAGACCTTTTTGGGATTATTTCTCACAAATTGCACCTTTATGTGGGATGAAACTCTTGCATGGTTACAACAAATAAAATCTGACCAGTGTGGCGTGCATTTGTATACACCCACCCATAAAAAGTTTGACTTTGGTCTGGTCCCACCAGAGTACCTTCTTCCTCATATCTGCTACATGACTAAGGTTGGGCATTGTTTGATTTTGAACGATTCCAATTCCTCAGTTTGATTCCGGTTCCTATCGATTCCCGATTCCGGTTCTTTCAAGACATGGCATGTTTTACATGAGCCAGCTAACCACAGGTCCTACTTGATGAAATAATCTTAACTTCAACATTAATTTTAACTCTATGAACAACAACATCACCTTCATTTAGACAGAAACATGTTTTGGAGGAAAAAAGAAAGACTTGCAGCACAACCAGTGTGTTTGTTTCTGACCACAACCAAAGTCTGGAAGCAGCCTCTGGGATGAGAGGCTTAATGTCTCCAACATATCCAGAAACGTCCAGCTGTTTTCAGCTAAAACTCTCAGGAAGATCATGTCCAGGATGACTGAGAACTACACCTCCATGCAGCAGCAGCATTCAGTTAGAACAGAAAGTGAAACTTAAATGTAGCTGCTGTCAGTAACAATCTAACAGACACGAGTGTTGGTGAGCGGCTGCATCTGACTGCTGATGCTCCGTGTGTGTTTTTATTTCAGCAGTGAGACAAACTCACCTCACACCGTCCAGAGTTTGTTCTTTAAAGCTTCTGTTAAATCCACCGTGTTGACGTATTTTAACACGTTTCCTCTACGCTGCAGGAGTAAAGTTTACGTTACGGAGTAAAAGTTCGGCAGACGTGTTTGTTTATATCTGGGTGGGGGGAGGGGGGACTCGGTGCTGCACACAGACAGCTGGTGTGATCAGCTCTGAAAAGCGTTGATCACAATTTGCAGATCACGTTTATTTTTCATGATCGGCCGCGGATTCCTCTTCCAGTCGGCATTCTAGGAATCGAAATAAAAAACTTTGAACGATTCTGGGGAAAACTAACGGTTTCAACCGGTTCCAATCGATGCTCGATGCCCAACCCTAAATGACTCCTGGAAAACAAAAGCCCCTGATGACTCGTGTGTAACCTGAGTGGGAGTGAGTGGTGACCCCAGCTGTGTGTGTGTTTTGTCTCCAGGTTACCCACGTCCCACACTTGCTTCAACGTGCTGCTGCTGCCTGAGTACAGCAGCAAGGACAAGCTGAGAGAGAGACTGCTGAAAGCCATCACCTATGCCAAAGGGTTTGGCATGCTCTGAGCCCCCCGCCCCCTCCTGCTACTAACAGACTCCTACTCAGAAAGCCCATGAAGCCCCGCCCTTGTTTTACCAGTCCAAACGGTGACTGATCACCCCCCACGCCGGGGGGTGTGTGTCCAGAAGGAAACATCAGTGAAAATGAGAGGACCCGTGGTTGTACGCCAGCGCACTATTACATCTGCTGCTGTGCCTGCATCATCCTACATCCGTCAGTGAGAGCACAGAGACCTCCTGAAGCACCCCCTCCTTTATGTTCCATGTACAGAGAGGATCATTTTCCTTATTATTTATTTGAAGGTTAAAATGGGTTCATCCATGCCTGTCTGTTGTGGTAGCTTCCCTACTCTGGGAAAGGGGGAGGGTTCCTATTAATCCATGTACATTTGGGACAGTGTCAAGTCAATAAAACCGGTTTATTGAACAAAACCTTGCTAAAGTAACCCTGATCTATCCAATCTTATGATCTAGTTTAGAGTAGCCTTTACTACAGATCCTGTACTCCCCTCTGAAGAGAGCCTTCACTCACCATTCCACCCACTCCTGTTGCTTTCTGTGTCCACAGACACAAAAATGATTAAGGTAAGCATCTGAGAGAGGACTGTCCTTTGGTCCAAAAAGGCACATTATCGTAAATCTGTAGCTTATTTTTTAGTGCTTGGGCTTTTTTCGTTTGTATTCTGGGGGGACTCTGTTGGTTAGATTCGATCTTGTCAGAGCTGTGTAAAGTGCACTTAGACATTTTCAGAATGTTTGTTTCTTTGGCCACAGGTTGCCATTATTGTTTGGAGCATTTCATTTCCTTGTCTTCCTGTGTTGACAATTCCAAATAAAAACAAAACCAGTGTTTATATATGAGTGCAGCTGGAACTGCAGCAGTGGATGGTGCCTACGCACCTGCATTTATTTATAAAGCGCCATCTAGAGTCCTAGAACCCCCAAGGCACTTACAACACACACACTAGTGGTGGTGTAGCCGCAGCTGCCCAGGGGCACACATTCAGCTCCATCAGACCCTTCAACCATCACCAGCAGGTGAGGAGAGTGGAGTTTCTTTCCAACAGACAAGGGGTCTCATTTATCAAACATTGCGTAGAATCCTTACTAAAACCCTACTTAAGCTCAGAAACAAAATGTACTTACGCCAAGTAGGTTTGTGATCCAGTGGAGTACGCACAGCTGCACGCAATCTCCGCTTCATAAATCGGAGACTAACGAGAATGTTTCTCAGCTGCTTTTTAGTCACATCCCGCCCTCACCACGCCCACTTACTGCCATAAATAGTCAATGCAAATTGCCTTGTGGATCTCATGCATATACATAAGCCGGCTGTTGCAGCACTCCGCCAATGACATGGCGATCGCAGATCAAGGAAGTGCTGTTTCACAGAAGCAGACATTGAGGTACTTGTGGGTGAGGTGGAGAAATGAAAGGAAGTACTTTTGCAAAACAAATAATGAAAATCCACGGAGTGGCACAGCGTTGCTGAAGTCGTCAATGCTGTGAATTCTTCAGAGAGACCTGTGGCGGATATAAATAAAATAGTCCAATTGGGATTTGGTCCCCAGATTCCCGGGTGAAAGTCACGTGCGCTAACCAGTCAGCCAAACAGACCTCCCTTGTTCAACTAGCCAGGGCGCATGATCAATCAGGTCACAGTGACAGGACACACACTGTCACAGACGCATGACAATCTGTCGTAATCTGTCCCCCTGCTGATATTCTGCATTCCGTATTCTGTGCTTCAGGCTGTGTGTTTGTGTGTGTGTGTGTGTGTGTGGGGGGGGGGGGGGGGGGGGGAGCCAAATTGCAAGTCGTCTCGAGGCACTTTACAGAGCCAACATCATTAAACCTACGCTTCAGTGCAATGAGTTCAGTTCATTATGCCAATTAAGTTTCCTATGTAAGGAACCCAGCAGATTGCATGGAGGTCATTGCACTTTCCATCCGGCCCCCAACCCTTTGGGCCCTAATGTCCATCAATTAGGGGACTTTGAAGTTTAGCAGCGAAGTTTGTGTCCCAAATATCAAAAATTGTTTAATTTCTCCAAAGAATTCAAACTGCAATCAAAACTGTTTAGATGGGAAAAAAGCCATTTTAAATGTTAATAAATTAAGATACAACAATACTATAACTTTATTTTAGAAAAACATCTGGCCCTCATGGTGTCTGCTGGAAAAAAAAAAACTCAACAAATTTGGTTGAAGACCCTTGCTTTAAGCAACCCCCACACTAAGCAAGCATGTAGTGACGGTGGAGAGGAAAACTCGCCTTCAACAGGAAGGGACCTCCAACAGAACCTGGCCATTTGCCACTGACAAACACAGTCAGAATAGACGAGCAAGTAGTAGCACATTGTATGTTAAAGAGTAGAGCAGGCAGAACTAATTATTAAACCCGAGTCCTGTTACCCGAGAGGTCCCGCTAACTCAGTGCTTTAGGTTGGTCAACACTGCATTTCCTCATAGGATTCCAGCAGAGACATTAACAGTGCAACAGTGTAAAGCAGGGCTAGCAAACAATTTAAAACATACATTTGTTTCAAAGAAGCTAGAAAATGACCCATTACTCACTTTATTTGCACATGTGTAATAGAAACAAAAACAATAAGCAGAATAATATCAAACGTATTGTGGAAAGAGAAAATTTTCTAAACGATTGATCCATCCTCCGTTCTTTCCTCGATGCTTGAGCCATCTGCTGGTGACTCAAAAATTACAATCTAGCTCAATGAAAGGTTGTAGGTCAAAGAAACCCTGTCAAAGGAAGGAAATGCGGAGAATGCAGCTTATTCACTCATTCAACGTCCTGAGTTGGTTTTATACATTTTAGATTATGTAAAGTGTTCATTAGGACTCCACTAGATGGCAGCATTACATTACAGTGAAAACAACCGATCTAGGAGTAGATCCATCCATCTTTGACGCCCATGTGATTGTGCTAGCATCTAGTTTGTCTATATCTAGAGGTCAGCAGGAGGGTGGCGAGGGTCATCAGCGACACAGGTTGGGGTTGAGGTAGAACTTCCAGCCCTAACATCTGAGGAACGGGCTGTCAGGTGCATCGTTTTGGACAGTGGGAGGAAACTAGAGTCCTAAGGCTAAACTTCTGCTTCAGAAGCTTCATCCAGGCACTGTGCCTTCACCTTTAGAGACGTAGTTTGATTCTGGTAACCATTCTAAAAAAGCTGTCAAATAGACCGTCTTCTTTCAGATTAATCTCAAGGACAAAAGTATAAATGCAAGTATTTTATGGTAAATGACCTGTATTCATTTAGTGCCTTCTAGAGTCTTAAGACCCCCCAAGGTGCTCTACAACACATCAGTCATTAACCTATTTACACACACACACACACACACACACACACACACACACACACACACACACACACACACACACACACACACACACACACACACACACACACACACACACACACACACACACACACACACCTTATACAATGATTTATTTTACTTTTTAAATAAAACAGCCCCAAATGTCGTATAGGTGATGTCGTTGGTCATTGATGCACATTGCCCTCATGAACTCATCACAACCTCTTTATGAAAATATTGGGGTGAAATAATAGACCACATACAAAGCAACCTTGTTATTTTATTGTGGGTCTGGGAACAAAAAGTGATGTTCAGCTCTGATCATGGTCCGTATAAGTAGAAAAGGTTTGCGGTCCGACCGATGAGGTAAACATCACTCATCAACTCTGAGGGAGCTGACCTCGTTTGATAGGTTGCAGAGCCGCTGTTTGAGTTTACGCTGAGAGGATTCGTACTGGTTTGCTAGCTTTTTAAATTTGGTGGACATCACCTCCACACTGTGTTCAATCTGAGAGACTTTGTTCTCCAGATCTTTAGCATCAACAGCAGCAACCAGTGACTCGTCTATCAGGTTGTCTTTCATCAGAATGGCTCTCCCCTTATCCTCCAGGGCAGTTTTGGCCTCAGGATACTCGACGAGTACCTCCATTAGGTCATCTTTGGATAGGGCGAACAAATCAGAGTAGCCGACACTTCGGATGTTGGCTGTCCTTCTGTTTCCTGCTTTACTACCCTTGATTCCGAGGATGCTGATTTCTCCAAAGTATGCACCATCACTGAGGACAACAAACTGGGTAATCCCATCATCTGCTACAACAGCCAGCTTTCCTTCTTTGATTATATACATCTCTCTTCCAATGTCCCCCTTCTTACAGATGTAGTCACCAGGGCTGAAGACCTGAGGCTGAAGCTTCAAGACTAACTCAACAAGTAAACCGGCTTCACAGTCCTGAAAGATGCGAACTTTTTGGAGGGTCTCCAGATGAACGTTAATGGCTATCTCAGCTTTCAGTTTGTCTGGAAGATTCTTCAACACCTGCTTCTCATCACAGTTTTTCCCTTCTGTCCACAAATAGTCGAACCACTTCACCACTCTCGCCTCCAGGTCTTTGGTAACCTTGCGAAACTGCATGTACTGCTTGATTGAGTCAATCTTTGCCTGAAATTCCACACGTTCAGCATTCATATTGGAAATCATGGCTCCAACATTGCCCACAATCGTAGCAAAGATCAGAACTCCAGTGAGAAAGTCGGCCACCACAAAAAAGTATTCTATGTCTCTGACTGGAGGGGGCGTCTCACCGATAGTGGTCAAGGTCAGAGTAGACCAGTAGAAACTGTAGATGTACTGTCTGGTGAGCTGAGCATTCACAGGATTCTTCATACCTGGGTACACCCATGTGTCTGAGCCAAAGCCAAGCACCTTGGAGATGGCAAAGTAAAGGCAGGCGTTCCAGTGTATGATGATGATGATGTAGAGTACGAGATTAGCAATACGGAAGATGTTTGGGAAGTTAGTTCGAGTTTCCGTCCGATCAAAGAACTCAAAGAGTCGGCCTAGCCTAAAGAGCCGGTTGAATCTCCACTCCGGGTTGTTGATTCCAATCTGAAGGAACACGATGTCTGTAGGAATGATGGATAAGATGTCTAGTTTGAACTGACGCGTCTTCGTGTACTTTTCTTTCAGGACCTTTGCATCCTTCACAAGTAGTCCTTGCTCCAGAAAACCTGTTGGCACATTACATCATTATTCTACATGAATTTCCTTTTAAACACTAAGTAATGAATGCTCAGTGTCTCTTACCCGTCCTGGCTCTTACAAAGATGTCAATGTAGTAGATGACGTCTGAAGTGTGGTCTAAGACCATCCATAATGTTGAATATGTAGACTGCAGTTCATTGAAACACGCTCTAAACAGAGGCAACACCACTAGGATTAGATTAGAACAAGACTAATGACTCATACTGAGTTTTTGGCCATGAATCCAGACCTGGCCACCAGTAACATCAGGTTGTAAAACACTGGGATAGCCATGGTGAATAGCCAGTAGTAGTACAGATCTGTGGCTGGGTCCATGATCCATACCTCCTTCCTAAAGGAGCGCAAAGAAAATATGAACTTAATACAAAATAGTTTATTATCTTGGCATCAAAAATGATTTCCTGAAAATAATTTACTGGTCAGGATCATCAGAGTCCTTCATTTCATGCCCATATTATTATTACTACTTACGGTTCTTCCTTTTTATCATCCTTTTTCTTGTCATCTTTCTTCTCATCTTTCTTTTCGTCTTTCTTCTCATCTTTTTTCTCATCTTTCTTGCTGAAAATGTATAGAAAATGTAAGTAGGTGAATTCAATAAGCTTCATTAGGTTGTTATTTAGATTAGCATTGTTCTCTATTATTGCATTCCTTTTAAACTCAACATTGATGACCGCTGTCCCCTGGGGACTGATGCATCATCAGGCCATAATGATATGACTGATTATCAGTGTCTGTTAAAACACACATTTGGTTTTTGGTAAATGGTGTCTCAGGTAGGACAAAAAGCGTCGGAGTAGAATTCTCTTGAAACTCTTTCAAACATGCTCAAGTCTTTTTCTAATAATAATGTCATGAAGTGAGAATCTGAGATGGAGCTCTTGGGGTTTTGTTTCTCTTTGGGGTGACCTCTGACCTCACTCTCAACAGAACAGAAAATACTTTATTGATCCTACAGCGGGAACGGAACATCTTCCCGCTGGAAAGTCTACAGCTGCCATCGGGTGCAGGATCACACACACACACCGGAGCAGAACCTCCACGGGAGAGAGGAAAGGTGAGAGCCAATCATGCTCCTCACACAGGAATACACTGCAGGTTTTTCCAAACTGTGAATCATGCTAAATTTCTCTGGGATAAAAGCACTAAACCTAAAGGAATTGTTGGCAGACATTTAAACATTAGGAGCATTGTACCAAGGATGGATCAGATTCAACAATTGCTAATTAACTCTAATTAACTCTTAGACTTCCTGGCTCTGTGTGGATCTTGGTTGAATAACAATGTGCCGAATCACATAATTAGTGTCCCTGGATACGCTTGCCACAGACACGACAGACAATCAGGAAAAGGTGGGGGAGTCCTCGTTTACATCAGAGATACCATCAGTTGCTCTAAAATCAATTTACATACCTATGGACTGGAATGTGTGGCTGTGAATGTTACTTTATCACCTAAGATGAACTTTCCTATTGTTGTTCTGTATAACCCTCCATCCTGTAATGTGTCATTTTATCAAGACTTAGATGAAATTCTTAAACAGTTAAACTGGAAATGTGAAATAATAATCCTGGGTGATTTTAACAAAAACTGGCTGGATAGAGCCGGTAAACCGAAACAAAAACAACTACATCCAAATATTCTTTACAACAAGTGATAAAACTCCTACAAGAGTAACACAGAATAGCAGCACACTTATTGATCTGATCTTCACAAACAAACCTGGACGTCTGACAAAAACCTACAACCTTGTGACTGGACTATCTGACCATAATCTGACATTAATCACCAGAAAACTGACCAAAAAACGACAACAGAAAATTTTTTACAGATCAGACACTGGCTCTCAGCACACTGGAATCAGAAAGAGTGAGATGAAACAATTTGACAATGAAATACAGGACATAGACTGGAACTCAACTCTGCAAGAACATGACCCCAACACCTGGTCTAATGAGCTTTGAAAGAAAAGCGTCTGGACTTCTTTGAGTTGCTTGAAGACGTTTCACCTCTCATCCAAGAGGCTTCTTCAGTTCTAAGGTCAAATGGTGGAGAGTCCCAGATTTAAACCCAGTGGGATGTCTGTGAAGGTTCTAACCCAGTGGGAGTTTCCCCCCGAAGAGGGAACAAAAGACCCCCTGATGATCTTCTACATAAACACATGAGCCAAGGTGTGAGGGTGGGTGGGCGTCTGGACTCAAAGAAGTCCAGACGCTTTTCTTTCAAAGCTCATTAGACTACAATCACCTGGATGACTGAGAACTGAGAACCTTCACAGACAGACCCCAACACCTGTTGTAACAGCCTCACAGATTCCCTTAGAAACATTACTGAAAAATTTACTAAACCAATTAAAAATAACCACAAAAAGTCCTCACTGCCATGGATCAGCAGTGAAATACACCAGCTGATGAAAAAGAGATTTGGCATTAAAAAAAAGACAATTTAATTTTTAAAAGTCTCAGAAACAAAGTGGTCAGCTCTTTAAGAAAAGCAAAGGCAGCCTACTTCACTGAACTGATCGCCCAATCAGGAGGTAGCACCTCAGCTCTCTGGTCTCACATCAATAAACTCATGAAAAAAGACTCAAATCGGAAGAAAGGACTGACTCAGCTGAACATTAACGGACAAATAACAACTGACTCAGCTGCAATGGCAAATGCTCTAAACTCAAGAGTTAGCATCTAATTTCAAACCGACAAACCTCATGGAGATCCCAGCCACTGAGTCAGCAGACCCTTTTAAGCTTGGTTTATGCTTGACGCATTCACTTTCCGCGCGGTGATGCGGCTCGCGGATGGAACGCGCTTCACAACTCGCAGCGTTTATGGTTTGTGCGGCTCGTCTCTGCGGTGAGTCAATATTCTCCCAAACTGAACGGGGCAGCATGGAGCTCTACGGCATGCATCCAACACTTCACCATAGTAGAAGTAGAAATTACTGTTTACAACATGGCATTTCAGCATTTTTAACAGCGTCCTCATCTTTTCCGACAGTGCGAGCTTTCTCTCCAAGAATTATTAACAACATGTTGATCACGGTGATCTCTGAGAGCTGAAGCATACAAATGTTTGTATTTACGAACCTCTGCCATACTAGTTGTTGCCGGTCCGCCATGTTTTTCCGCGTCCGACCGTCCGCGTGGTTAGAAATTTTCTGAGGTGCGCGTTGCGGAGATCTTGGGCCGTGCGGAGACGCGGTGGAGGGGCGTGGTTGTTAAAATGACGCAAAATGACGCAACTTTTCCGCGCGGAGCCATGCGGACCTCGCGGACGCGTCAAGCATAAACCAACCTTTACTCTCAACAGGATTGATGCGAGTGAAACCCAGGACATCATCAACCGATTAAAAAATTCTAAAGCAAAAGACATATTTGGTATGGATACAGAACTCATAAAAAAACACAATGCTCTAGTAAACCCTATAACCCACATGATAAACATATCATTTAGAAAAGGGGAATTTCCAGACAACTTCAAAAAAGGACTCATAACTCTAATTCTGAAATCTGGTGACTCAGACCAAGTTAGTAACTACAGACCAATCACTATCCTACCGGCCATATCCAAAGTTATTGAAAAATCAGCAGTCAGCTAACCAGTTTCCTGGACAAAAATCAGCTACTGCATCCAGAACAGTTTGGGTTTCGCTCAGGTTACTCAACTGAACTGGCTACCACCTATCTCACTGAAAATACTGAAAGATCCTTAGACAACGGTAATGTAGTTGGAGCAGTTTTCTTAGATCTGAAAAAGGCCTTTGACACAGTGAATCATGTGATGCTCCTACATAAACTCAGCAAATTGAAATTTTCACAGACAGCTATTAACTGGTTTAGATCATATCTAAAACACAGGGAGCAGTGTTGTAAAGTTAATGGAACTAAAGGTTGGTTTATGCTTGACGCGTCCGCGAGGTCCGCATGGCTCCGCGCGGAAAAGTTGCGTCATTTTGCGTCATTTTAACAACCACGCCCCTCCACCGCGTCTCCGCACGGCCCAAGATCTCCGCAACGCGCACCTCAGAAAATTTCTAACCACGCGGACGGTCGGACACGGAAAAACATGGCGGACCGGCAACAACTAGTATGGCAGAGGTTCGTAAATACAAACATTTGTATGCTTCAGCTCTCAGAGATCACCGTGATGAACATGTTAATAATTCTTGGAGAGAAAGCTCGCACTGTCGGAAAAGATGAGGACGCTGTTAAAAATGCTGAAATGCCATGTTGTAAACAGTAATTTCTACTTCTACTATGGTGTAGTGTTGGATGCATGCCGTAGAGCTCCATGCTGCCCCGTTCAGTTTGGGAGAATATTGACTCACCGCAGAGACGAGCCGCACAAACCATAAACGCTGCGAGTTGTGAAGCGCGTTCCATCCGCGAGCCACATCACCGCGCGGAAAGTGAATGCGTCAAGCATAAACCAAGCTTAAGTCAAACATTAAAAACTGTACAATAGGAGTTCCACAAGGTTCAATCCTGGGTCCATTGCTGTTTTGTCTGTACATCAGTGACTTACCCAACAGTTGTAAAGGTGTCCAGTGCCAAATGTATGCTGATGATGCTGTCATCTATGTAAAAGCAAAGACCCCCCAACAGGCTGAAGAGTTACTGAATGAACAGATGGTGGGGGTGTCTCGCTGGTTCAAGAATAACCTGTTGACCCTGAACTACAGTAAAACCGTCTCCATTTGTTTTACGATCAAACGTAAGATTTCGGACAGCTTCACCGTTTTCATTGACCAGAAAGAAATCCAACAAGTGGATGAGTTTAAATATCTGGGTGTTGTTTTGGAGTCCCACATCAGAAAAGTGTCCAGAACCATTAAGACCAACCTCAACTGCTTCCGCCTGATAAGACCATGTTTACCTGTAAAAGCTGCCCAGCTGTACCTGCATGCCATGATTCTGTCTCACCTTTCTTACTGTGTAACTGTTTGCAGTCAAGCCACCCAGACTCTTTTAAAACCTGTCATGTGTCTGTACAATCAAGCCCTAAAAGCTCTGGACCAAAAACCAATGAAATGGCACCACTGTAAAATACAGGAGAAGTACAATCTGCTAAGTTTTGAAAACTTTATAAACCTAGCTTTCTGTCATAAAACTGACATTCAATTGTATAAATGGCCTTGTCCCAGAGCTGATGAGCAGACTGATTATAAAAGTCAGCAGCACAGGAGCTACAACCAGAGGAGTAGCCAACAGAGGCTGTAAACCACCAAAATACAAAACATCATTTGGTCAATCCTCGTTCTCATTTAAAGGACCTCAGATCTGGAACAATCTACCATCAACAATAAAACTGTTAACACACTTTACAACTTTTAACTCCCAGGTGAAAAAATGGCTGAAACAAAAACAAACTTGTGAACACTGATGCTTCTTAGTCAAACTAGTTTATCTACATTGATTTTGTGTGTGTGTGTGTGTGTGTGTGTGTGTGTGTGTGTGTGTGTGTGTGTGTGATGACAAATGTTATAAATGCTGTTATTTGATTAAATCTAAAAGTCCAACCAAGGACTAGGTTTGCAAATTAGCCTCTGGCTATAAAACCTCTGTACAAAACAATGGTTGCATTGCCCTTACATGTAACATTGTCTTTTGTGCTGTCCTTGTTCAATAAATAAAAAAATAAATAAAAATAAAATAAAATCACTTGTTAAAAGTTGACTATGGAACATGGACACTCTGGCGAACTCTGTTGTTCAGAGGTGGTATTGCAACAACAGGACTAATTTTCCAGCCGCTGAAATGTTTCACTGCTGACACGTTCCAGCACAATGTTCAGAGACCATGTTCAGAGACAAGTTGTACAGGATAAGGACTAATTTCTACTAATACATTTAATTTTACAACAGTATTTATTGCTAGAACATCTCCTGGGCTCAGAATCAGCAACTTGACTTGTCAAGTCCGCCATTTTCCACAGTCCCTCGCTTTGCTGAGTGGACTTTTTAGCGCAACGGTGCCCCCTAGTGGCTGGTAGATGTCATCAGAAACACAGTGTCATGCCCTATTATTTATCTTTTTAAATATACTGTAGCTTTTAAAGGAGAAACTACATTTATTCTGCACACATCCAAATGCCCCGTGGAGCTATTCTGTTTTTTAAAGTATAGCTTTTTATTTAAACGTTCCATATTCTATCTTTAAGGCAACACATACACGTAGAGAAATAGGAAAAAAAATTAGACAGGTAAACACCCAGGGAATTATGCTATTACCATAACCTACAGAACTAACAAAATGAATGAAAATAGCAATTTGAGTTTCCACAAGGAAACAGCATAGAGACACGGGCATGCATCCACGTATTGTGCAGGTATTAAATATAGCACTGATGTTAGCACGTGACAAGATAATGCCAGTACCAGCTAAACAGAGGTATGCTACAGTGGGAATTAATGACCTATGGTTGCGTTCTGTTTTACATCTTGGATATCTCAGTCTACCACTAAAGGAGCTGTCTATGGCCTCCACAGCGGAATACAGTGTGTGAGAGTGGTTTTCCAAGATGGTAGTCAGCTTCAGATCTGCTGAGACATCCACTCTACTCCAGAGAAGACCATCAGCTACCATAAATATCCTAATTTTCTCTCTGTAGAATTATGGACTCTATAATGTATGGAAATATGGGAATTGCCTTTCCTAGATTGATAATAAAAGTAATTTCTCTGAAGTCATCATTGATGTCTTTTGTTAACACACGTCTGTATGCTCCAGACCAGCAAACTTCTGAACACGAAACTCCTGCTTCTCTGGAAGAGTTTACCCTGATAATCAAACCATCTGATGCCCCTAGATCAGATGAACTCCTGGGTGATACTTCACATTTTAAATCTTGTGAAAGAAGTAATGTGGACTTTTGTGCAGGAGTTACTGAAAGAGGTTCTTCATCATTATTTGTGGCATAACTTACCCATCGTTGTTGTTGGAGTTGTTCATGTTCCGTTGACCCAAGAGACATTGACTCTCACTGCCAGAGGAACAAATAAACAAGCATAAGATTAGCTTTCCATCATTTATTGGTTTGCACCGTAATGATACAGAGAACTCTGTGTGTAACATCTGTATTTTTAGGTTTTACTGATCTAAGGATTTAACGTCAAACGTAAGTGAAACATCAGTAAAACAACTCACAACAGAACCACTGACTTGGGGCGGAACATGTCCCCCACTTTTTCCAAAATAAATTCTTGACCCCTGCACTTTTTACCTTCCAAAAACAATATTACGCTATATTAAATAGACACTGGCTGAGCACTAGGACCAAGTGGAAAACAACCGCTTGTGTTGAAGCCTGTTTCCCATCAGAACCGTCCGTAAGCTCATCTGTTGGCTCTGCTGATACTTGCTAATATGTGACTGGCTGTTTCTGCCACCTGTGTACTTGAAAACTCTGCATTCCTGACATTGTATAAAAGAGCCTCTAGGCTGTAGTGTTACACATCTTTTTTGCATACTTACTGTAAAGACCTGGGTTTGCTGGGTTTAATTGTATTGGTAATGATGGGAATATCAACTCACCGTGTATTATTGACATTAATTTTACAGGTATATATTTTTATAAACAGATTTAGTCAAATTTCTTATTATGTGATGCTCTTGTGGGAGCAGATATCCAGACGCGGTTAACTGTCTGTAAACCACAGCGCCTCTGTAGTGTTTTGTGTGAAACAGGCCCGGCGTTCTCTCAGACACCTCTAATGTCTCATGGACTTTCAGTGTAAACACCCAAAATGTGATGTGTGTGAAAACCCAAATGTTCTGATGGTTATGACTTTTGCCAAAACAACTTGTAGTTTTTGTAGGTTTGTTTGATTGAGGAAAACGTTCCACTCTGCCAGTCTAAATGATGGTGGTTTCCCTAGCGACCTTGATGAGTAACAAGGCACTACCATTGGTTTTCATGGTGACATTATTGTGCCAACGAAGGTGACCATGGTGACCATGATGAGCCACCAGGGGTTAGCTTGGTGGCTGTGATGCACCATGATCACCCATTATTTCAGCATCGCATCAGTAAACAGACTTTTAGCAGTGCTGAAGCTGTTTAGTGCACCGCAGATCTCTGGAGACGTTTACCGTCTGAATTCCTGTTTACTGAACTGGGATGTTCTGTATGTGTAGTGACCAAAAGAACAAGATCGAAGACACAAGCTGCTGAAATTAGTTTTCTCTGCAGGGTGGCTGGGTTCTCCCTTAGAGATGGGGTGAGAAACTCGGTCATTCGGGAGGGGCTCGGAGTAGATCCGCTGCTACTTCACATCAAGAGGAGCCAGCTGAGGTGGCTCGGGCATCTGGTTGCCTCCTTGACGCTGCCTTGGTGAGGTTTTTCAGACACGTGACACTGGGAGACTAGGAGGATGGATGGGTTGTTCTTCATGCTCAGCTTACCTGCATCTGACTTGTGACTCTGACTGGCCAACTCTGCGTCTCCCAGAGGGCATCATGTGGGACAACCTTTAATAAGAGATCAAAATGACCTTCTGGTCAGGAGATGTGATAACATTTCAAATCACGACATCATGCATTTGTAAGTTTGGATTCGTTTCCTGAAGTCTTACCTGGACAGGAGTCCCATTCTTACAGACACCTGATCCTGGTTGTCCATTCCTGTCAGACATGATGAGACCCGTTTTTACAGACCAACTCATAATAATTTGTAATTATTTTCTCACAGATAAAAGAAGATCCAAATAGATAAAAAGGACAAATACAATGCAAGGAGAGGCAAAAACATTATGAAAACAATGGCATTATTCATATTCCTGAGCAGAGAGCGGTAAGCATCAATACTACAGAGTAGAAACAAAAAGCAAACAAAGTAACTATACAGGCGCATACATATAACCATAAATTACAAGGAGTTTGTCAAACTTATTTAGTCTTTTGAGTATTAATAAATCTTTTTACTGAAGGACTTTTTTCTAACATGTGAAAAGTTACTCCATAACTATATCTTATAGAAACGTGTCCTCTACCAGTTACACAGTTTAAGGGATGGAGATTTGTGGACTGCTCAGAAGAACGGGAATGAAACTGTGAATTTACCATAAAATTAACTTTCACATTTGAAATGGCATCTAATAAATAAAAAGCAGATTGGAAAAACATTAACATTGTTTACAACAAACATCTTCAGCTTTATAAATAAAGGAAGGGATGACCTGGCTACGACCCTGGCAACACGTCTCTGGAGATTCAGGGTTTTATAAAGAGTAGCAGCATCAGGACCAAGTTACAATGAGACAGATGAGGATGAATTAAAGCGTAATAAGGAATAAGATCAGAGTTTAGGGAGACTCGACAAATCTTCCTTATTATCCCAGTGGATTTATTTACTTTCTACTAACCCAAACTACATGTTTGCTCCAGTTTCATACGACTCCTGGGTGAAATCTGGGGCATGTCCGTGACTCAGTCATAATTGTAAGGGATTCCTACCCCCCCCCCCCCCCCGTATAATCATAATGTTTGACTTTTTCCACATTCAAATGTAGTTCATTTAAACCACCTAGCATAGGCAGCTAGGCCAGTGTTCGTTTCTTTTATGGCACGTCTCTGATTATTGGATATTCTGGAAATAAACACAGTGTTTATACATCTGGAGACATCTGAGTTCACACAGTTTCATCAGGGGCCCTTTCAAGACGAGGGACAAAACTTCACAATAAGGGTCCCTTTATTAACATTACTTAGTGCATTATTAAGCATTAATAAACTATTAAATAAAGTATTAACAACTGCTTGATATTAATGTCAATATTAAGTAATGCATTACTAAGCAGACCCTCCCCCTAGCCCATTGTCCTAACCTTTAGTTAACAATATTGCAACGTTAATAAAAGGATCCTTTTTTATTAATGCTTAATAACACACTAAGTAAAGTTAAGTGTTACCCTTAATTGTAATGAAAATGTTTGTGAGGAAGTTAAAGGGGTCACTCTCATTTTGCTTGTCTTCTAAAATCGCAGTTGTTTTTACATCCAATCAAAATTCATCTGCTTCTGTTGCTAGGGACATAATGAGCTGTTTTCTGCTCTGAAGAAGAAGAAGAAGAGGAAGAAGAAGAAAAGATCTTTTCTAAAGCGCCTCTCAAGATAAAAATCACGAGGTGCTTCACAAAAACAAACATTTTAAATATAAAAAGAATTTCGAAAATGATTAAATATATTTTTAAAATGAGCAAAAAAAAAAAGACAACTGTGATTAAAATGTAAAGAAAGATAGAGAGAGTGAACAGGAAAGAGGGAAATCAGTGGATTCTGAGGAAGGTGGAATAGGTGGGGAGAGCAGAATAAGGAGAGGGTGGTGAAGAAGGTCATACAAAAGCCATCTTGAACAAGTGAGCCTTCAGCTGCTTTTTAAAGGAGACCACTGAGTCCACTGGTCTCAGGCTCAGGGGGAGAGAGCTCCAGAGTCTGGGGGCCACAGCAGCAAATGATCTGAAACCTTTGGTCTTTAGCCTGGTGCTGCACAACCTGTAGGATTTGATCACTGGACCTCAGGGACCTGCTGGGGGTGTAGGGACTAAGAAGATCACCGATGTAAGATGGTGCTTGTCCATGTAAGGCCCTATAGACCAGAACCAGGATCTTGAAATGAACCCTGAAGTTGACTGGCAGCCAGTGAAGCTGGAGAAGCGGGGTGATGTGGGTGTGTTTGGAGGATTTGGTCAGAAGCCGAGCACAGGCATTCTGAACCACCTGTAGACGGTTCAGGGAGGTTCTGCTCAGACACGTGAAAAGAGAGTCACAGTAGTCTAAGCGTGAGGAGATGAAGGAGTGGATAACTCTCAAGTTCAGAGCGAGACAGAATGGGACTCAGCTTAGCAATGTTCCTGAGATGGAAGAAGGAAGAGCGAACAAGAGAACTGACATGAGAATCCAGGGTGAGAGCTGGGTCAAAGGTCACGCCAAGATTCCTGACAGAAGGTTTGGTGTGAAAAGCAAGTCGACCAAGAGAGTCTCTGACTTTGGGAACCAGCTTGTCTGGGGCACAGATGAGGATCTCAGTCTTATCTTCATTCAGCTGAAGAAAGCTCCCAGCATCCAGGTTTTGATAGAGTCTAAGCAGGTGTGTAACAGCTGCAGCTTAGACATCTCATGGGGCTTAAAGGGGATGTACAGTTGGATGTCATCTGCATAAAGATGGTAGGAGATTCCTTTGAAGGAGCTCAGGATGTGCTGAAGAGGAAGCAGAATGAGGAGGAAGAGTAGGGCCCCCAGCACAGAGCCTTGTGGGACACCATGGTTAAGGGTGGTGGTGGAGGACCTAAACTTGGAGACGGTCACAGAGAAGGAGCGCTCAGAGAGATAAGAGGAAAACCACTCCAGAGCAGATCCTGATAAGCCTACCCAGTCTCTCAGCCTCTCCAGTAGAAGGGGATGGTCAACCATGTCAAGATAAGATGTGGGAGCTAGGAGAAGGACTTATTATGGCTCCCTTAATCAATCAATCAGATTTATTTATAAAGCGCTTTTCAAACAAAGTGCTTTACAAAATGACCCTAGATTCCCATAACAGGTTAAAACATTAACACACACACACACACACACACACACACACACACACACACACACACACACACACACACACACACACACACACACACACACACACACACACACACACACACACACACACACACACACACACACACACACACACACACACACACACACACACACACACACACACGTAAAAATTATATTTGGCTGAGTCCAGATGAGCCAAGTAAGGTAAGGCAAGGAAACGCCATCAGAAGAGCCGTCTGCCCCGGCAGCATCAGGTCTTCCACACTAAGTCAGGGCGCTCAGTGGAGGGGGAGCATCGACCCCCACCTATAGAGCGCCCAGGAAGCTACAGTCGACCACTGCTCCCGGGGCAGAGGGCCCCTACAGAGGAAACATTGGATTAAAATGAGTAAAAATATAATAAAAGAGCTAATATAAAGGACAAAAGTCAGAAAATAAGTAATAAATAAAATCATATAGACAGTAAAATAATAATATTAAATAAAGAAAACAATGCTAAAATATAATCATATAAAACGAGAAATAAAACTGTGGTAAATATTTAGATGAAAGCTAACCTAAATAGACGGGTCTTGGTCTTGAGCCTGGACTTAAAAACATGAACGTTCTCTGAGGTCCTCTGGCAACTCGTTCCAGAGGCGAGGGCCATAACACTGGAAGGACGCCTCGCCATGAGTGTGTGTCCTGACTTTAGGGATGACCAGGAGACGCCCGCCAGAGGAGCGCAGAGGCCGTGAGGGTTCATATGGTAAAAACAGTTCTGAGAGATAAGAAGGCCCAAGACCATTAAGACACTTAAAAACCATTAGAAGAACCTTAAAATGGATCCTGAAACATACGGGGAGCCAATGCAATGATTCTAAAACTGGTGTAATGTGCTCCCGCCTCCTGGTCTTCATCAGGACACGTGCTGCTGAATTTGTAAACCTGAGATGCTCTTTTTGGGAAGACCAGAAAGCAGGGCATTACAGCAATCTATTCTACTGGTGATTCTTATTCGGTAACAAGGTCGTTGAGCAGTGCTTTTCTGGTTTGGAGACCAGACAGATGTGATATGGCACACCAGTTTATCTCGTGTATTGGCACCACAGTGTCGGATTGACCCGTATGAAGAAGTAGCTAGGGCCTGCAAGTGAAAACTTAACTTTTGGTCATTTTGATGAAATACTTGACCATTGGTATGCTGCAGCTTAATACTAGCATAATGTTTACTCCTGGGTAGAGGCACAACAGGAACTCAGTAGACAAACAAAATCAAACTAACTAGCATAACTGGCTCATTCTGTGATTAGCTCACCCAAGAAAAGCACTCATTCATGCTAGAATATGAATGTTTTTAATCCCAGACTAATAATTAGTAATAATAATAATAAGTTTGGTAAGAAATAAATTATAGTTTTAAACGTAGAAATCGGTATTGGCTCACAAAACCATAACCAGTGCATTTTGAGTTTTTGGATGTAGAGACTCCTGGACAGACCCATGTGAGGGGTTACGCTCAGAGGAACTAGATGATCAGGCTGCCCGCCTTCGCATTCATCCTTTTCCTGCTTTCCTTGTGTTTTCTGTCTTTTGACACATTACCCGATTTGACAGTAGTCCTCATACCAACCTCATGCGTTCATCGTTTAAAAATTCTAATCTACCAAATTCTTTTAATTTAGTCCCGTTTAAACATTAGTTTAAGTTTACAACATGTTCAATTTAGAGTGACAAATAACCACAGCCCGGGTTTGTGTTTGGGCCCATCAGCTCGTTGAGTTGCCTCTCCTGCACCGTTAACTCAAATCCTTTCTCCAGATTAGACCAGCTAAAATTAGACCTTGATCCCAACGTCACTCTCGCACCACGAGTCACTCCCAACACAAGTTACCTGAATATTTGTGATGATGATGAAGATGACGTTGATAATTATGCTGCTGATGATGTGGAGGAAATGTTCCTGACACAGAGGTCACAAGTCCTTCCTCCTTCACGGCCGCAGGAGGTGCTCATCAGAACCACAGGAGTCTCTCAACAACAATGAGAACCTGTAGGAGTCAGAATCCATCCACCAACCCTAGACATTCATGCTGT